TGCCTCACAGCAAAAACTCCGTCTTCCGTTACAGAGATCGGGGGGGGGGGGCGGAGTTGGGTGCTCTTAGGCAAAAGCAAAGGAAAATGAGCCCACAATCGACAGCAACCTCCCAGGGATCAACCAGTAGATCCCGATGGACCTGTTGGACATCCCTGGTCTAGACCATAAGACCTGGTAACCTGCTTTGTTTGGCTCCCTGGTCTGCATTCTGCAGCCTTTCATCATGCAAGTGACCCCAGGGCAGGGTGCATCAAACATAAAATCTGACACAAACACAGCAAAACACTAAAATGGTTGATAAGAGCACCCCTTTCCCTGCTGACTTCCTTCTTGCCAACAACGAAGAACCCCTCCTGTTCCTAGGACCCTGGGTAACGCTTTCCCTCTAGCTCTCTGAATGTTCAGGCCATTTCATGTGACCCACTTCTGCCAACTTGTCTCTTGGCCAGATTCCCTAGAACTTCTGTCTTCCCACGCACATCAAGAGTGTACAGGCCGTCCTGGCCTGAAGCACTTTGAGGTTTCTTTAAAGCCTGTTACTCCTCTGAATATTCCAACAGCTTTAAGTGCCTGGACAGCTGGAATGTTGTCACCTGCTCAAGCTAATAACCCCTGTCAGAAGCTTCATTGCCACAAGCGCAATGCAATTTAGCTACGCTTATTGCTTACTTCTGGTGTTCCGCTCTCGGTTTGCAAAGCTGCCTGTTGTTTTTCTGCTTGTGTCAGGAGCCTTAACCGGTTTGAATTTTGCAATTGGGAGATGTGCAGAGTGTATAGTCACCTCCACAACTACTGCCTTTGTATGTCAACTGCAGCGAACATTCACACTTGACTGAAGCATTTATTTCTGTAATGCTTCCTTGTGGGCAACGCTTCAGACTTCTCACAGTGTGTCCGTGTGTGTAAGATACACAGAATCGATGCCACCCTCCTCCTTATCTTCCCCTGTTATGGCTGCTATTGGGCTAAATGTGTTGCTGAAACAGGAAGCATGGTGGAGTGGAAAATCTGAACACATGTCAGACTGTTTAGGCTGACTCACAAACTGAGAAGGGAAGAGTAACCAAATACCCAAAAACAGTGTGGTGAAAATGTACTAGAAAAAGACCAAGCAGAGAAAATAGCAAAGAAGCAAAGTCTTCTTTTCCTTAAAAACAACAACACAAAAGTAAACAAACAAACATTACAGCACCTTATGAACTAACAAAATTATTATGGCATAAGCTTTCATGGACTTAAGTCCATGGCATCAGAAGCATGAAGTAGGCTGAAGTTCAAGAAAGCTTATGCGATAATATACTTAGTACACTTACATGTTAGTTTTTGCACTGTTTCACACAGTACTACCATGTACTGGCTGTTGGTGATATTATTGGTGATAACATGCAGTTGCACTGGAATGTTTATCATAGGTCTTTAATTGCTATGTTGTAACAAGTGGTTTTTTACGACGGCTTTAAAATGTTATCGTGTTCATATAATCATGTCGAATTATTTGTTGCACTGTTGCGTTTTGATTTGGTATTTGTAATGCTGTATTGATTTGCAATTTTGTTCCGTTGTGAGCTGCTCTGAGCGTATTTATATGGGGAAATGGCATGCAAATTTATATAAAATAAATAAATTTGTTGATCTTTAAGGTGCCATAAGACGTTTCGTTGTTTTTTGCTGCAACAGATTAACATGTTAAACATGATTAACAGATTAATTCTGGAAACTTAGAAAAGTAAAGGCTTGGTCCACTCATTCATAACATAGATCTTACTGGGAGAGTTAAGCACATGTTTAGATTTCCCCCAACAGCTCAGGGGTAAAGAGAATTGCTTTGTAGGCAAAGGTTCCAGGTGTCTTCAGGTATGGCTGTGAACTAGGTAGACTAATGGTCTTATTTGATATAAGGCTGCTTTCCAAGTTCCCCTTGCAACTAAACCCACAGCACAACCCTATGTTGATTCAGAAGTACCACTGAGTTCAGTTGAGCTTATTCTCAAGTAAGTGTGCAAAGAATTCATAGCCTTTAAAAAGTGTTTACACCTGTGTGCCCTAGTAATATATTTGGTAACAGAGAGGAGCAACCATTCTGTGTTCCTGCATTTGCTAATGAATTACAAAGATATGCCACGGGAGCGCAACAAAAATAAGCTACTTATTTTGCTTTAGGACTGAAAAATTAATTTAATACAAATTAGACACACACTGAAGGATGAAGCTAAACCAGCCTAGTGCCACTCAGTAAATGATATTGTACAGCTAAAATAATCCCCCCCCCCTTCTCCACCAGACAGGAACCTAGCCTTTAGACAAGAAGGTGCCAGTGATAATTCTATTTATATTGTTAAGTTTGCTGATACACCCCAGATACATGCTACAATCTAATTAAAGATGATTTACGTGCAAGATAACAAAGGTTGAGCAGCTGCAGATGAAAATAAACAGCATGATAGTGGAGAACAAATGGGAAAGACATACAAAATCATACAATACAGCTTGACTGTGCTTTTTTGATACAAAGGATGGGATGATTCAAAAACACAGCTGTAAAAAATGTGGCAAGTTCAGTAATTATGTATCATACGTACTATTATAGTTGTTCATTTCTATAGCACCAAATGCACACGACATTTTCCAGGGGTTCAATAGGTCCCTGTACCATTGGACTTGCAATCTAAAAGTGGACACGGAGAAACAATAAAGGAAGGGGAGGGCTATGGAAGCTAGGCTGAAGATGGGAAAGATACACCATTATTACAATTATGCATACAATAGGTATTGGGACTAAAGGCTTCCTGGGAAAAGTACAGATATGCACAAGTGTGTCACAAGACCATGCTCATTTTTTATTTCTATGCTGCTTGATTGTTGTAAAACCTCTAAGTGGTTTACAAGAACACATTTCCTTCTATTATTCTATTTCATTCCATTAATGCATTGTTAGTATCCTTGAGTCTTTGGGTAAAGGAATGCTAGATCATTCAACCAAATATATACACAGGTTTGAGGACAACTGCGAGGCCTTTAGAGACCTGCACCCTATTGATGCAGATTGGCAAAACATTGTACTGCAACTTGAAAAATATTACCAACATTACCAGAAGGAAAATAATTGGGACAGGAAAAAGCGGGTGATAAAGCAGAACCTACAAAGATTAAATGATAAAAGTGCTATGTGTTTGAGAGCCATAAGCCAAGTAAGAGGGACAAGGAAAAACAAAATGGACGTAAGGGTCTTTCAATAAAAGTTTATTGAAAGAGCATGCCGAGGATCAAATACGTGCGGTGACTTGATATTTCAACTGACTTTTCATTCCAAAAACCTGCTACGGTCTCTTGACTCTTGATGGTGTCTCTGTTCTTCTGGCACTCTTTAACGAGAGCCTTCATTTCAGCGTTACATTGAAGAGTGTGACTGGAGGGGCAAATTTGTTCAGCTCCACCCGCAAGACGCTTCAAGCCTAACACACAATAGGTAGTTATATCTGCCTTATTAACCATGTCTCCGCAGTCTCCTTTCATGAGAGCTTTTTACCCTAGCCCCACCCACCCAGGTGCGGTTACTAATATATTTAGCTCACCAGCAATGAGACTGCCCTCCCTTTCTGTCGCAATTAAAATAATCTGATTAGTCACGGTCAATTTTATAGACTTGAAATGAAGACAAACTTGGGAAAGATGACTCAGAATTGTCATAGACAAAAGTTTTTTCAGTTGAACTCAGACCTAAATCAGCTCAGGTCTGCTCAAAGTTTTAGGAAAGTGGGATGGTGCTTGTTCAGGACACCTGATCCCTCCTAGTCACTTGGTTCTATATACAATCTACATTTATTATTTATTTTATTTAACAAAACTTTCAAACTGCTTTATTGGATGTAGACTTCTAAGTGGTTTACATAGATCCCACCATGTGTCCAAGACAGATCCCAAAATTTTAAGCAATGTGAACTAAAGTCATTTCTGGGACCCCTCTGGGGTCTTAAGCTTAAGATTCATTAGTTTCATAGTAGACACAATCCCTGCAGGTGACAGATCTCTTAGTTCTCTTTCCCTGCCCCTCACTTTGATGAAAGGTTGAGAGTTTACTTTCTTCTCTATTTCTTCTGACAGTAGGAACCACAAGTAACTGGAACAGGTGTGCTCAGTTAAGCCAGCGCCTCAAGTTTTTGTCTTGTTATTTTCCACAATGCCAAATGAACCTTGAATTTATTTTTTGTATAAAGTTATGAGTGTGTTCCAATAGGGCATTTTCTTGCAAAACTCAATAAAGGCAAAAGTAGAGCACTGCAACCCCAAAGTTGTTTGCAACTGGACTTAACTGTCAGGGGTCCCTTTACCTTTACATGTCCTTCTAATAGTGAGTGACAGCTGAGTGATAACCGACATCTTCTTACACCAATGATCCTGTCCTTTTACAGTCGTACCTTGGTTGTCAAATGCCTTGGTACTCATACATTTTGGCTCCTGAACGATCAAAACCCGGAAGTGAGTGTTCCAGTTTTTGAACGTTCTTTTGGAAGCTGAACGTCCGATGGGGCTTCCGCTACTGTTTCCGGCACGCCTGCAGAATCGGGAGCCAATCAGAAGCCACGCCTTGGTTTCCGAACGTTTCGGAAGTTGGACGGATTTCCGGAACACATTTTGTTCGAAAACCAAGGTACGACTGTACATTCTTTCAAAGTAGCAACTGCAGTGTGGTTTTGTAGCATACATATTTAGCTGGTTAAAAGCCAATCAACAACATGGAACATTTCAAATAGAATTTGTCTTCAAGACTAGTGATCTGCTCTTTACAGAGGATGTAGCAATGCACTGTCCTGTTAGCTGGAACCGGTGCCTTCTCTGAACATCAACCAGGATGATGGGAAATAAAATTAGCAAACTTTTTGTTGATGAATGCCCAATCCTAGAATTTGTATTAATTAGCAAAAATGTGGGAAACTATTCAGAAATTCAGAAAAAGACTTAAGCAACAACCACAAAAATACATTTTTTGGTTTATTTTTCTCCCAGCAGCTCCCTCCCCACCCATGAATCATGGATAACATCATTTCCGAACTTATCTTTATGTGCTGAACATTTGCATTTATCTACACAGCTCACATTCATCTTACAATGACCTCATTACAGCAACTTGTCCAAAGCTACCTGGTGAGATTCATCGCTTAATCAGCTTTCTTCAAGAACTGTAGTCATTGTGACAGCACATCCTCTGATTAACACAGTAATGCATATATTTGATTGCAACTCAGGGCTGGTCTACACAATCAACAGACTGAGGTGGGAGAATGGACTGCACTGCTTCAGACTTCACATGCGAGATAAATTTTCTGTGTTTACTTGGGAGAGGAATAAAAAAAATGTTAACACAGCAGGAAGAAAGGTTCTATCTCAATCCACACCCCACTGTGATAATTTTCTGAATGCGGAGCATTTTTATTTTGCACCTTAAAACATTTCAAAATGTGACAATTTAGATGGATTAACTTCAGGTAAGGCACGTTCGTAAGATCTACAGTTAGAGATGTATTCAAAGCCAGACATTGTGCGCAAACATGAGAGTCCTCACTTGATATGACGTCCAGCTGCACTCTGGGTACTGTGTGCTATCCTAATTTCCTGGGCACACTATTCTCCACCTTCCTTCCCTCATGCCCAACTAACTGAAGCACAATGATACAAGCTTCTAATGCATCATGAGTGAAAACTTCTTAAAAAGTCGTTTGTTTGTTTAAAAATATGTCTTGCCTTTAAAGAAACAACATGAAAGGAGGTCGACAGATCAAGGTACACTTTCACAGAAAATTAGACAAAAATAGCTAGCTCTGTTTGTGCATTTTATGTGTTGGAGGGATTCCACAAAACAACAAAAAAGTATTATCTTTTATGGGACCAACCAACTTGTCACAAAGTCATGAGCAAACTTTTTTGTCATGAGTAAAGGTAAAGGGACCCCTGACCATTAGGTCCAGTCATGGCCGACTCTGGGGTTGCGACGCTCATCTTGCTTTATTGGCCGAGGGAGTCGGTGTACAGCTTCCGGGTCATGTGGTCAGCACGACTAAGCCAATTCTGGCGAAACCAGAGCAGCGCACGGAAGCGCCATTTACCTTCCCGCCGGAGCGGTACCTATTTATCTTGCACTTTGACGTGCTTTCGAACTGCTAGGTTGGCAGGAGCAGGGATCGAGCACCGGGAGATCACCCCGTCACGGGGATTCAAACTGCCGACCTTCTGATCGGCAAGTCCTAGGCTCTGTGGTTTAACCCACAGCACCACCTGCATCCCTTACTCTGTCAATAGTAGTGCCACTGGAATTTTTTTTTTTTTTTTGCAAAGAACCAATGAAGCAGACATTGGTTTAGAACTCATTTTATTTAAGATATGAAGTTGGATGCAACTTTAATCATAAAAAAGATATATGCAGTGTCTCATACCTTAATATTTTAAGTGAGGAAATATTTGTTCTGAATTCAAACCAAATGGAGCCAGTAGATTCTTCCTGGAGTCCATTAATTCCTGCTTGGAAGCATGGAAAAGGTAGCCCTGCAAAAGTTTGTGGGCCAAAGGTTTTAGGGACCTTCATCTATGAGTTGTGCTTTTGGGAGAAAGCTTTGTCCTACAGCAAGGTAATGCCTGTATTTTTCTGAATAGTTCATCTTTGCATTCTGAGCTGGTGGAACTCTTTCAAAATTTCTCCAGTCAAACTTGGAGATCTTCTTAATTCAATTCATCTATTGAAGATAGAAGAGTTCCAGTTTCCTCAGAGCAAGACATATCTAAGGACCCAAGGAATCTTCTTCTGTTTGGCCAGCTTAGAGGCACAATTTGATCGAAATCCAGATGAAAAGGAACTCCCTTTCAATCATTTTCTTGGTAGGGGGTGGAATTGCCACTAGTCTGAAGCACACAGAAAAGCTGGACTGGAATTCCCATTTGTTCAATGCCATGGGTAACAATGAAACATATGCACTTATACCAAGTTGCACCTACAATATCATGCCATTTATCAGAACCGTTAAACTTGATGGTGCAGTGGCCAATTTAATTACACATAATGTATATCTGATGGAAAAATAGCACATAGCTCAAATCACCAAGAACTTCAAGTAAACAGATATTCAGTCCAAGAATGCCGGTCAGCATCTTATGTATATCTTTGTTTTGAAAAATTGGCAATTTTAAGATGTTTGTGTTTGTTCCAAGTCCCTAATTTGCAATGCAGGACTAAGCACTTGCATCTAGAAGATGCCCTCTTGATTCCAAGTGAGTGTAGTTTCAATTAATAGTTTAGGATGCGAGGACTTGCCATTTTGAACTTCAACATATCTAATGTTGTGCTTGAATGGCCTAATATCCTATACTGATGCAGTGGCCACATGTATAATAGGGCTGTAATTCAGAACAGGCCTCAGAGGCATGGTAATGGTGCCTCAATCATAGGGACAAACCCATCCTGTTTAAGTTAATTTTGAGCTAAAGGTCAGCAAGAAGCTGTAATTCACACTGTTACACACTATTTAATATGAAGATAAAGGCTGGTATCCAGTGCTACCTGCTTCGCTGACAGAAAGCATTATCTTCTCCATATATAGGCATAGAGTCTTCATGGTTATGTTAGAAGACTCTCAAGTTTGCTAAATTTCCATAAACAGATTGCTAGAGAGAAGGGCAATGATGTGGCCTATGATCTGAAACATTGGTTCTCAGACTGGGAGGGGCTACTGGTAGGCTTGCAGCTTGACTATTCTGACACCTTTTTTTCTAGAAAAAAATATGCTGGTGGACAGGATTTTAGTTGGTGACTAGAATTATAAAGGTGATCAAGAAACTACAGATAGACAACACAGAACTCAACAGGAAAAGGAGTACTTAATATCCGTTGTGTTTTTAATGCAATTTGTTCTTCTGAAGTCAGCACTGGGCATTACATTGTTATAAATATTTATACACATGTCCCCCATTTATATCTGTTTTACACTTTAGACTTGACTCACTATTACTCTTAACGTCTCAAAACTATCATACCATTACATATACAGTAAGCAGAGAACCAATACAAAGAATTCCCAACAAAAAGTCCAGGTTCACATGGATGAATCCTAGTTTTAATGGGAACACTCTCTTTCTCTATTAAACAGCTGCATAACTGACACAGACAATCTGCTAGACTGAAAATGGTATTTGAAAATGCTTTCAACTTTTTTCAGTCTGAAAAAAAAATGAAAGAAAGGATGGTTTTGTTCTCTTTTACTACTTTTCAACCAGATCTATGCATTCAGGCATATTGAAGATATCCGCATCTGATATAGCCACCCTGTTGTGCAATTGCTTAAACAGTTTTTAAATTCAGCATGTTCAATAACAGTATTTAGCATATAAAAACCAAGATCTGGAAATCTTTGAAAGTGTTTCAAGTCAGTTCAAATAAATAAGCTGTTTAATTGTCCATGTCTCACTAAGCATTTATCTTCCTATCTTTTGTACCTGGTTTTCTTTCATCTCCTTTTGCAGTTCAATCCCCTATATTGCCAAGCAGAGGACCAAATCTTGACCATTTTAGCTCAAGGCAAGGCGAACTGGATTCTCCAGATTGCTTTTAAGTCTCTCCAGAAATTGTGAAGCTAGTTCATCGTCTACTACTCGGCCATCACTTGATAGCGTTACTGTCATCAACTGATGCTGCTGAAGCTTCTCATTCCCTTCGTCATCCACCGCAACTGCGAGTTCAGTCCGAGTTCGCCCCACAGCTAATATACAGGCTTGGGGAGGGTTTATGACAGCAATGAAGCTACTGATGCCAAACATGCCTAGATTTGAAATGCTATTGGTGGAAGGGAAAAAGAAGTCAGACAAACAAATATTGGGGGGAAGGATAAGTATGAAGAAGGCACTTTGAAAACATATTTAGGAAATTACTAAGGATTCATTTAGACACAGGAAAAAGTATATGTACTGCCATAAACATATGGAGTTAGAAATTTAACTTAATGAATTAAAACCAAAGGTTTAGAATAAAGAATAAGGATGAATAAAAACCACACACAAAGAAATACACCATTTCCCTATATTCATATAACTTTAGTATCAGTATAAGTTTGATTTTGTGAGTATGTGACAAACTAAAAGGAGACTACTTGGGGTTGTTTTTGTCAGTCTGCATTTCTTAGTGCGGAAAGTATTGATCTGATGTGTAGAGATCTTTCCTATTCTACTTAATTCAAGAGGGTTCTGGAAGCTTCTCTGTGTGAAAGAAGGTTCATGATGTTTGGGTTATACCTTCAGAGAAGCTGAGTACAGCTGGCTTAAACTGGTTGTCTTATCTCTTCAGTCAAGGTCATGCTGACAATAAAAGGAAGGCCAGAAGGAGCCCGAGTTTCACTTTCTCTTTCTATCTCTTTTCCTTCTGGTGTGGTGTTCTGTACATAGTATACTTAGTGTTAAAGTTTTAGACTAATTAAGTTACTGTAAGTTTAAATCTGCTGCAACTGGGTTTCTTATGGACATTGCCAATCCTGAATGTATTGGATCTGTGACCATTATGCTTATTTGCCTTTAGTAGCAGCAAAGCTCTGCTGGATGAAATACAATTGCCTTTGGTCTATTTTCTGGGAATCCTGCAACATGTTTAAGTTGTTACTTTGCTAACTATACATTGGAATATACTCTGGATCAATACTGAGTCAAATTTAAATAACAGTTTTTCGTGTTTTTTGTTGTTGACTTCAGTCTGCAACCTATATACAGAGAGTCACACCCCCTCAGGCTTTTCCCATCTCATCATTTGGCACCACACACCTCTTTCTCTCATTTGTCACCACTGGCTGAGACGGCAGACGTGTGCTGGGGCTGGTTTAAATTCAGCTAACTCAGTGGGGAGTACTTTGGAGCAGAAATGTGTAGGGTTGCACTGTTAGCTGAAAATAGGCCATGGAGTCGTGATAGTGGACTTTTGGAGGAAAGCTTTGTCCTACGGCATAAGAGTCTCTTATATAGATTCTGGAATAGGCATGGATGCAGAAAATAATACAACCAATCAATTTCCAGCCAGACTTTGAACCCGTTCATCACTATTAACTACTGCAAATTCAGAATATTTAAGACTCTAGGATGTAACTACAGTGGTGCCCCGCAAGACGAATGCCTCGCAAGACGGAAAACTCGCTAGACGAAAGAGTTTTCCGTTTTGGAGGTGCCTCGCAAAACGAATCTGCTATGGGCTTGCTTCGCAAGACGAAAATGTCTTGCGAGTTCCTGGGTTGTTTTTTTCCTTTCCCCCCTCTTTTTCTAAGTCGCTAAGCCGCTTATCTGCTTATCCGATAAGCTGATAAGCTGCTAAAAGCCGCTAAAAGCCGCTAATAGCGCTAATCCGCTAATCCCATCAATGGGCTTGCTTCGCAAGACGAAAAAACCGCTAGACGAAGAGACTCCCAGAACGGATTCTTTTCGTCTTGCGAGGCACCACTGTACCTTCTTTGGCTTACTAGCTTTATGAGAAACATAGCAATAGATTCTTAAAAACACATTGGCTACAGTGTGATTTATCCTGTCTCTTCAGCTGAGGTAATGTCAGAATGAATCCAAGAGTAGAGAAAGCAACCTTAGCTGCTACACAGCAATGGAAGTAATGCTAGGAACATCTGGTAAAGTGAGAAAAAGGTTTCCTGGCTGCCTATGCAGGTATTCAGTAACTTTGATTTAACAACAACTTCTCCCTGCTAAATAAGAAGACTCTTCCCTGCCATAAATTGAACATGACAATTCTAGTGGGGGGCAGGGGTGGGAAACACTGTCATTGCCATTTCCTTTCACAATTTTGTAGAACATGGGATGGTCCTGGAAATTATAATAAAGTGTATCCTTTGTACCAAGCAGCTGTAATGGGGTTTCCATGCACCCAATATTCCTACCGTCTAGGATTTCTCACAAAGATCTTCAGAAGAGAAAACAAGAAAAGGAAATGGAAGCCAACAGGAAATCAGCATTTACCCCTGAAGGCCCATCTAAACAGAAGGCTCTTTTTAGGTTATCATCTTTGCTCAGCATCATATACACAACTTCATTCTGGCCAGTCTTAGCCTCTGGAAGTAGAGAAGTCTGCTGTTGCTAGGCAAGACTGTTACAGAATAGGTTTCAGCCTTACAGAATTCAAAGTGCAGATAGGCCAAGAGATTGGAAGCTGGGGTCAAGCATCCAAGGTGAAATTAATCACAGCATAGGATACCATGGCGTATCAATATTGCCTCAATAATGCATCAGTTAAGGCTGTGGCCTCAACAGCTGTAATTTCCTGGCGTTCTGAAACCCTTTACACAGCATGCTACACCAACCCCCACCCCACAATTTTTTAAAAAATTAAATATTAAACTCACTCTATTGCACTATTCAACATGGGAATAAGCTAACAACGGACATTCCTCCTGGCCAACTCTAGGACACTCATTTAGATATGATAAAATTCTTAAATTTATGTGAAACATCTCTCAACATTGAAGCTTTCCCTGCCAACAAGGGTCTATATTCTTGCTCTGCTATGTCCCCATTAGCCTTTAAACAGTTTTAATGAAATACCTGTTTACGTTCAAGGAAGAATTTTCTAATCTGAAAACCCCTCATAAGAAAAGGTGCTGTGTTTTACAGAACCATATCCCAATTAAAAAGGTGTATTAGCTGGTATCTTTATTACTAGTGCATCCTAAACATTATTGGGAGTCACCAGTTGTTCATAATTAAGCTAGAAGTTTGCATTCAAGAAACAATTCTATAGAGATTACTCCTCTGACATGTTATGTATAATTTTAAAGACATCCATAGGAACCATTATCCAGAGTCTAGGAAAAACAACATATTTATAGTGCAATACTGTCCATGACCAGCCACATGACTAGAGACTGGATTATACTTAATATTTTTGAGTCAGTGGAATTGCACTGCTCTCTCTGTATACTCTATGCTGCTAAGGGGAAGGGATGCAGCTCAGTGGCAGAATATCTGCTTTGAATTCAGGAAATCCCAGTTTCAAATCTCAGCATCTCCAGGTAGGCCTGGGAGTGTCCCCCGTGTGAAACTTGGAAGAGCTGCTGCCAGTCGTGCTTCCCGCAGCATGGAGTGAGGGTGAAATGAAAATCAGCATTGCATTCTGAACAAATATGAATGTTATGAGAGGAGTTAAACTGTATGGAAGCTAAGCTCATGCAGTACGCCAGATGTGCTATTTGTAGGTACATCTGAACACAGTCTAAGATTACAAAAAGCTAGATAAACCAAGTTTAGTGCTTCACTTACAGACTAACAATATTCTGGAACACAAGTATTCAAGAGTACAACTTCATTCCACGCTACTAAATTTTTAGCAATTAAAATACATTTGAAATACCTAAAAGATCCTCCTTGGTATTCTTCTGGTAGCAATTTTCCATCTCTTGCTTTCTTTGCTAGAGCCTATGGAAATCAAATCCAAACATATGTTAGTAATTTAAGAATATCTTTTAGCAAAGTTAATTGTATTTGTAAAATAAATATGCTCTTAAACGTATTTTGCTTGTATAAATAGTTCAGTTTAATTAATATCAATAAATTCAAGCAGATGCTGTAACTTGTGTTGGCAAAACTCTTAAATTTGTATCTTCTGGGAATAGGCTTCCAAAGTAGGAATATACAGGGGGTAGCAGAGAAATTTCTGTGGTGATCCCTCAATTAGCTTTAGAATAGTCTCAGACAACATTTTCTGTTATGCGTAGCTTGTGTTAGTTATTCAACTGTCAGCACTGCTTTGCCTACAACCTATAGATGAAATAGTCTGATCTCACTGTAAGTAGCCATTAATTCTAATGCTGACAGGAAATTTCACCCAACTGTTTTCCAACCAAAAATGAGAGGAAAATGTAAGTCCTGTTATATGATTCACAGCTGATGGGTGGAGCTAACAAAGTGTCAAATCATTCCTTCTAGGAGGCAACAAGACTCGTGAAAAATTACCATTTCCTATGATTTCATATGACATATTTGGATGCATGAGATATCTACACATGACATCACTGTCTGAAAGTGCATTTTTCAGAAACAAGATACGGACAATATACAATTGGAACGGAAATTTCAATATTTCAGATTTATAGCAGTTAAAAAGTAATGGTGCAACAAATGCATTTGAAAGACATGTGTCACTGAAAATTCCCCACAATTATGGGAAATATTTGTTTTTACTGTCTTGCCACCATGGCCACAGCAATTTCAATATAAAACATCAATGCATGCAGAGATTCTAAGATCACTTAGACCACTTACATAATCTATCTCAGTTTACTAAAGCAGAATGAAATAAAAGGTATCCAAGAGGTTGCCAGAGAGACAGGAAGAAATTATAGAAAATTAAAATTGAGGAATATTCAGCTCAGCTGTGATAAAGATAACACCGTAAACTCAATTCACAGTGATATATGTAAGTCCTTGCAGTCCAATACTGTGCTCAGCTATGCCAAAGCAATGTTACATCTGTTATAAGAATCCCAGTGCATTAGGGGACAGTTCTACTGACCAGACCTAGCCCTTCAATATATTCAGGTCATGACAATACTGAGAGGGATAATACATGCTTATGTTCAAAGCAAAAATATTAATCTTGACAAGTGTTTATTACTACAGTGCTGGTAATGCACCTTTTATTTGAAAATATCTGGCAGTAAAGAATGCCCCAGTAGTCTTAAGATGGGATTGGAATTCTGCTGAAGATATTAATAGCAAAGCTTATTGTTATAGATGGAAGTCTCAGATTTCCGAAATCCATCCATTATCTTTATGGAAATATATTGGCCTAGTAGATACTTGTAGATTAATACCTCTTACTATGGATGCCTACTTCCTGCTGCACATTAGAGTTATGATAGACAAGTTGTTAGGTTTTGCATAAACACAGGAGGAGAAATCTGCAATAGTTTCATTTAAGATTATGCTCCAGTGGCTCTTTGTAGAACTAGAATATTCTTTGTGAATTAAGATGACATGCATAAAGTTTTACAGATGAGTACAACACTATCAAACATTTATCAAAGAAAAAGCAAAGTAAAATCGCACAACCCCGTGGCAGGAAGCTAAGGAGTAAAGATCAACAAAATGAAATGGTCTACATTGCTTTCAGCAAAAACACAAAAACAAAAGGAACACTACAGATACACATAGGTTTCTCTGGGTCTGTTCTTCCACTTCTTAAATTGTATTGGACTTCCAGATAAGTGGGGTTAGGATTGCAGTCTTGGTTACTGAACCGAGATATGGATGACTATACTTGGCCTATATTGCATTGCCTAGTTGCTTACTGCTTGAGATAAAAATGTATGTTTCCATTGAAATTTAAATGCATCTCTGATGAAATTGCCTTCATTGATCATCCTTTCAGAATTACTGTAACAGTTACTACAACTGGCAAGCAGGAAGATAAAGAAAAGCACACTCTTCTTTCTAATTGATTTTTGAATTATTACTTACAACCCCATGGTGATTAATGGCAAAATATAATCTTCCAAATCATTCCATTGTTGTGGTTTATAATACTTCAATAAGCAAAGAGTTGAGGACAGGCCTAAATGTGGGCAAGGATCAAGGATATTTTGCCTATTGGTTTTTTTCTAAAATACACAAACATCTAAACCTCTCTCTCAAAGGGTAATGAAAACTTATTTGCGGAATGGTGTTGGAGGAGTCCAGAACAATAGTTCTGGGTGATTTCAACATCCATACTGAGGTGGATTCTAGTGCACTAGCTAGGGTTTTAATGGCCTCCATGGCAATTCTAAATAATCTTAAGAAAGCCTCCATTTTCCATACTGCCAGCTTTTGTGAAGCTGGTGCAGCACAGTGGCTAAAAGACTGAAAGGCAAATCATAAAGAGTACGATACAAATTTCACTATTCTGATGAACTCACTAGGATGGCCTAGGCGAGACTCGATCTCAGAGCATCAGGCTCCTCTATGCAGAATGGGATTAATAATGATGGCCTACCGCAAGAAGAAAGGAACAGCATGTGCAGTCCCCAACTTCCACAAAAGAACTCAAAATTAGCCTCCCTCTGGGGAACTTTAAATAAATGTAGGCCAGAAACAAAATGTATTTGTTGATTTTAATTTCACTTAAAATCCCTGAATGCCTGCCAAAAGCAAAACACAGTAATTCCTGTGGAATGGGACATCATCACAGATGTCTCATATCCAACATAGAAGCAGCTTTAAAGCAGTGTGTTTTTTCCGAGGTACACTATGTCTTTGGTTGCACATCTAAATGCCATTATGCTCCGAAAGATTACCACCATGTATGTGGAATACCTACCTTTGCAGAAGCTGCAATCTCCTGAACTCCCTTGGCTGCAGCATCTTTTATGATTGGTGTAATGAGACCTCGGTCTGTTGCCACAGCGATAGAGATGTCTATAGATTGCTGCTGCCGGGGGCCCTCTCCATCCCAGGTCACATTCACATCTGGCATTTGCTGGAAGAAGGAAACAGAGGGAGGCGCAGCTGTTAAAAGAATAATGGCATAACCAATTACCAAGGAAAAGGAACATCCTTTAGAATGTGTGGTGATGGAGGAATTCACATATGTGGAAAGGTTTGCCTTAAGCAAGGCAAGGTTAAGAATAACAAAAGATCTGCCATGTGAGTCTAAAAATAGACCTATCTTATTAGCTAGCATCCATGTATACCTACTTTGTCACAAGGCATGAATGTACAGGATACTGGAAATTGCACAGCTGCAGGCAGCCAAGAAATACACGGTTTCTGAACTGCTAGTGAATTATTAACAGACTCCAATCCCATCGGATATCAACCCTCAACTTGCAGATGCCTTGGAAACAAGAATTGTGACTGCTGCCCCAATCATAAGGAAGTACATATGGATTTTCTGTTGCCACTTGATTCATAGGAGAATATACAAGTTCAATGTTAAAAAGAAGAAAAACTCACATCGACATATCCTTGTTAGCAGCATCTGCTCTAAATGTAAAACAAAATTTGACTAATTTGAAACTTGTTAATGTCAGAATTAAATTTCACATTTTAAAATTAGATTGAGGGTTGTTTTTTTGCGTTGGATACAAATGGATATTTTGTATGAGAATGTTCTCATTTCCCCCCTACTCATGTTCCCATATTCATGGCTTCCATCAAGCTAATGTAACTAATTTATTTAAAACCTGTACATGTTGAATTCTACTTGTGAAATTTTCCCAATGCTGGTCACACAAATGGACTGAGCAAGACATATGTGTGCCTAAAGCAGTAGATTGGAAAGGATTTCTACTTCCTAATTGTTTAACAAGAGCAAATCAAAAATATTTTCCCCACCAACAGCGGATTTTATGTACGTGGAAGGAATATGAGCTCCGTTGAATTCTGATATTCAAATGCCTGAACTCAGGATAATTCAATTCTAGGCTCTGGTTGAAGGATCTGGGGCTTCTAGTAAAACACAAGGTAGATTCCCCAAGCCTAAAGCCTGCTCATTCCTGCCTCAGGTAATGTTTATATGTATCCCCAGTAGCTGCCATTTGCAAGTTTCCCTTTTCAGACACAAGTCACCACACATATGGAAACTCGCTTGAAAGAAGTGGAAGTGGAACACGACCCTTTGAAAAGTCTCCTAGGATTGAAGTTGGAACATTTAATAATAATAATAATAATAATAATAATAATAATAATAATAAATTATTTCTACCCCGCCATCTGGCTGGGTTTCCCTAGCCACTCCGGGAGGCTTCCAACTGAAGGTTAAAAATACATTAAAACATCAGTCATTAAAAACTTCCCTGAACAGGGCTGCCTTCAGATGTCTTCTAATTGTCATATAGTTGTTTATTTCCTTGACATCTGATGGGAGGGCGTTCCACAGGGCGGGGGCCACTACTGAGAAGGCCCTCTGCCTGCTTCCCTGTAACCTCACTTCTTGCAGGGAGGGAACTGCCAGAAGGCCCTTGGTGCTGGACCTCAGTGTCCAAGCTGAACGATGGGGGTGGAGACGCTCCTTCAGGTATACAGGACCGAGGCTGTTTAGGGTTTTAAAGGTCAGCCCCATCATCAACATCAATTAGCTTATTTTCTACTTCCCTGGATGAAAGGAAGACTCAGTTAATGACAAAAAGATCTCTCAATGTCATGGGCTAAGAAACTGAAACTAAATTTGGATAAAGCAGGCTATTGGTAGATGTCTTGCCTGGCGCCAGGTCTGAGGGGGATCCAGGCAAGGATGCTGATAATTGGTTCAACTGGAAGACAGGTGTTTGGCTGTTCTAGACAGTGCTGACGGATAAAGTTTCCAGTTGAGGAATATTTTTGATCCAGTTTAGCACCTGGATAAAAAAGGAAGCCAGTAATGCTTTCTACCATGAGCTGCTCTGTCTCAGAGGATCTGGACTTGGCTAGCACACTGCAGCCCTCAGCAAAGTCTCATTTGGATTACTGCAGGGCATCCTCTGTAGGGCTGCTGTTGAAGAGTTTAAAAGGCTGCAACTAGTAGAGCATGGGAGACCTGCTTTTTGACAGATGCTAATTGGTCATCGCTAATAACTATATGACCTTTTAAGGATAGAAAAGTTTACTGAAGTATAAAATACCATAAGCCTGCATATTAACCTCTTTACCTATACTAGCAGTACTCAAGCTAGAAAAAAATAATACCAAATAAACAAACCAACAAGCCAGTGCTGGGCCAAAAAGGAATATCAGGCAAGGGTTTATTTTCAGTTAAAAGACAAAAAAGTAAAAGAAGATCAAGCTCAGTTTTCTTTCCATATTAAACCTAGGAAGAAAGTGCTGGCATATGTGAAACTGAAACTAGTAGTCATTCCTTATCTGCACAGTGTAATGTAAACAATCTAGAAGCAGGTGGCTTCAAGGTCAGAAGCATGAGCAATGTGCCTTTGGGCCTAGATAAGAGACAGAGAGAAAGAGCTCTGTTCTTCTCCCTGTAGGGAGGAAGAAAACCATCTCCAGATGTGAACCGTACTAACATCATGCTAGTGACTGATTTATGGGCTAATGATGTAAAAAAGGTAAAAAGGTAAAGGACTTTTGGACGGTTAAGTCCTGTCAAAGGTGACTATGGGGTGTGGCGCTCATCTCGCTTCAGGCCGAGGGAGCCTGCGTTTGTCCACAGACAGCTTTCCGGGTCATGTAGTCAGCATGACTAAACCGCTTCTGGCACAATGGAACACTGTGACGGAAGCCAGAGAGCACGGAAACATTGTTTACCTTCCCGCCACCTATTTATCTACTTGCACTGGTGTGCTTTCGAACTGCTAGGTTGGCAGAAGCTGAGACAGAGCAACGGGAGCTCACCCCCTCATGGGGATTCGAACCGCCAATCTTCCAATCGGCAAGCCCAAGAGGCTCAGTGGTTTAGACCACAACACCACCTGCTCCCCTACTGATGTACTGAACCATTAAGCTGTAAACCAGCATTACAACTTACTGCCTGAATCGTGGGTGTGAAGTGAGTTTACTGCATCAGCGACTGTCTCCTCAAAAGGCTTAACAACGCTGCGCAGAGTGGAGCATGCAGAGGAGTGTGCTGGACAGCTTGTGAGTTGAAAAAGATACTCACAAATATTCAACAGAAAGGCGCCTTCACTGACAATGCTTTCTGCATGAAGGCCAAATAAAACTAGCACATCTTTCTTACAAATTCAGTGAGCTGATAAAGATCAAGTGAACTAGAAATCCCAGAATAATGGGGAAATATTTTAGCTTCCTCTTAAGGAAGAAGATGCCCACATATGAGGAACATAATTTTAATTGAAGATGACACTCTCAAATCCTATCCAAGATAGCAGTCCACACAGGATTTGCTTTGCATAGTGCTAGAACTGAAAAACAGGGCAGTAAGAAAATTTTGCATTTTATGCTGCTATGTAAACATAAACCTATGTTCAAACATATGGTACTTTTTTTGGCAGTTGCAGGTGGTGGGGTTGCATTTATTCATTCACAACCAGATACAATGATGAATTGGACGTGGGCTAAGATAATGAGGGTTAATCCAGATCAGACAGAGGTGCTGTTGGTCAGAAGAAGATCTGAATGGTGAGTGGGAATCTGTCCCATTTTGTTATTAATAGTAGTGCAGGCACCTGTACTAGTTGCCATACCAAACCATATTCAAGGCAAGATGTGCTTAAATTCTACGAGTTTGCTCCCAGTAGTGCTGTCTAATTGGTAACAAAGGTTTAAAGATGATCTTAATCCGAAGACTGGATAACCTTGAAACAATAGTAGTCCATGTTTGTAGAAGAATTTAGATCAGCCTTCCCCCACCTGGAAGCAAGGCCACTAGCCAAATTGGCTGGGACGGATAGGAGCTGTAGTCTAAAACATATGAAAGGTACCAGTTTGAGGGATGCTCTAGATGGTCTCTGGTATGGCAACAACACAGAAGCTGTAATCTCACCATTAAGAGAATGTCTATCTGAATGGTGACTAAGAAACTACTTCTGAGGCTAGCAGATATTCCAGAAGAACAGAGAAAGGGGAAACTGATTTTGAGCTCACTTCCAAGGCACCAAACCTTTAGTTAAGCCTAACTCAACACAGCACTTACCATTATTGAACACAGAAAATCTACAACTATAATTAAAGAATGGTTACTTACTTTCAGGGTAACTGCTGTTGCTTTGATAATAAAGTCATTCACTGACACTTTAATATCATCTGTATAAAAGAGAGCAAGAAATTAAAATACATAGTTTCAAGATAAACAGTCCACCTGCCCCAATTTGTACAATTAATATACTAGTCATTAGCAGAAGAACAGAATGATCTCTTAGAAAATCATGTAGTCAAAAACAGTTCTAATTATTTATCTTCATAGCAGGGGTGTTTTTATAGTACCATAAATCTGAAACTCAAAACACATTTCTGCTGTTGCTATAGGAAAACAGCGATTTAGAAATGATATGCTATTAACTGAGAGTATATAAAGCAGAATACTTGCATCCTCTAGAGTCTACCAGAATGGAAAGTCTTTTTTTAAAAAAAATGCATTCCACAATAATAATGTTTTCTTTTCTCCCATTCTTTTGCAGATAACAGCAAAGAACAAACAAGACCAACCCAGAAATCTGGATGCCTTTTTAAGAGATGTAAATACAAGGGGAAAATGGAGAACAAGACAGGAGATGGAAAACCACTAGTCACCAAAACACCTCTACTCTGGTCCACCTATGAAGGAGAAAGGGGGGAAGGCTTATTCAAGACAAAATATGTAGAGATTTGCAATGATGGCCAAGATGCCTTTGCAGAAGTACAGCTGGAATTTCCTCATCTCCACTCTACTATCATCTCTTCATCCTCATCCCTGAGCTAGGCAGCATCTTTATTGGGATTGACAGTATTAGCATTTAAACCTCAAACTGCTCACAATACCAAAGTCGGTGTCAAGATAGGTGATGTTATTATCTTTTCACACAAGAAGTACAGCTCTTCTTTTCACACAGGGAAGCTTGCAAGAATACTGCAGCCACATAAGTTGGGTCAACTGAAGGAGCATTTTGCACTCAATCAGTATTCTGCCAGGGCAGGAGTATGTGCAAAAGACCCAGAGGTTCGGTCCTGCCCATGTTGTTTTGGTATTCACACATGGTCTCCAGCGGCAGCAAGCAATATCATGGGAAAAGGTGTTTCCACGTAGCTGGGTGTATGTGAAGGAGCCCTTATTCAGTGCACTGGATTATACAATCAAAAAGATGGTAACTAGAGCTGTACATCCAAGTCGAGCAGGCAAGGTTTCCAACTGACTCACTGAAATGAAATGTTCATTGACCACGTAACGTGGAATACAAGAGTAGTGCTGAACTCGAAAATGGGGGAAAGATGCCAGTCATTCAGAATAAATACTGCTGTTATATCAAGCTTTCTGTAATCATTTACTGTAATCAAGTTAAAAATAAACATGATATTAAACCAGTAAGCTAAAGGCTTAAAGGTTACTTCATCAATGCAGGTAGTTTTGGAAAGCATTTTTAAATATTAAGGGTTGTACCCAACACTGTGTATGTGGAGCTCTATTTACACAATGGGACTACCCTTCATTTCCTTATGTGCCCCCCAAATATGTCTCTAGAGCAGATGTTGAGGGAGGGTGAAGGGCTACAAGGGAGAAGAAAGGAGTAGGAGGAAGTTCAGTTGCCCAAGTGGAAGTCTGTTGTGCAAATGGGATGGCACAGCATTGGAAAGAACCCAAAGTGATATATTCATTATATGTTTTAGTCAAAAAATATAGCTCTTAAGGTATAACAACATTCTGGATGAAAGTGGTAAGGGTTCTATACAACATAGAGGGTAGTATACGATGTTGAGCTAAGGCTAAGGTTCCATTAAGGGCAAGGATTTTTCTTGTGTGATGGAACCTTCTCCTGCTCTCTCTCCCCCCACCCACCGTGTGTCCCTTAAATCTGTTCTGGGGTTTGAGCATGGAGAAGATTTGAGCATGGTGTAGAATGCATAAGGGGTGAGGAGACTGAGGCAAGTCCTGTTGTACTAGCAGGAATCCTTTTGCTGGCATTTGCTAGTGCAACAATTTAGCTGAATACAGCTCATAGCACATAAATGATTTCATATACCTACCTACCAACCAAAACACAGTTGACGTGCAACTATTTTTTGGAAAGGCATAAAAGAACGAAACAGGTTAATAATTATATTTAATTGAAGGAATAATGTCATGCAGAGGAATAATGTCATGCGCAGATTTGCTAACCTGAAGTCAAACATTTGTGGTAACAATACCAGCACAAAGTATTATCCATAATTTTATCACACATACACACAGACCAGTGAATGACAGCAATGTGTAAGTACAGTGGTACCTCGGGTTAAGTACTTAATTCGTTTCGGAGGTCCGTTCTTAACCTGAAGCTGTTCTTAACCTGAAGCACCACTTTAGCTAATGGGGCCTCCTGCTGCTGCCACACCACTGGAACATGATTTCTGTTCTCATCCTGAAGCAAAGTTCTTAACCCGAGGTAATATTTCTGGGTTAGCGGAGTCTGTAACCTGAAGCATATGTAACTCGAGATACCACTGTATTACACACTGGTTTACTGTGATGCAAAGTTCTACTGTATGTCTAAAAATACAACCAAATGAGAAAAACACAGAAAATAGAAATCTCATTGTTCAGTCTGATATTCTATGATGCATGAAATGGAATAATCAAAAGAATTATCTTGCATATCTGTTCAACTGTAAAAGCAAAACATGTCATTGTGTGATGTCCCTTGGGGACTTGTCCTGTTCAGATTACTGAGATGAAGGCACTGGCAAATCATGAAATTGCTTTAACAATAGAAGTAAAACAGGTAGAAACTCTGTTGCATAGCTGAAAATTCTAACGTATTTGATAAAGGTAAAAACAAACAAATCGTCCCCGATAACCTGCCCTTGTCCTTTCTGGTTTGGATACCACAGGGCAGTTCCTTCATTGGTTCAGGTTCTATTTAGGTCTGCTTAGAAAGTTTAATAAAAATGGGTATCTGAATTCTATTAGATCTGCACAAACTCAGGATTAATATTCAAAATTCCAAAGATATATACATATATATAAAAGAACGCAGACTGCAGTTAGCACCACAACACTGTTATATATACCAGCAGCCAACAGAACTGTGGTAGAAAATCCTTCATTAGGTTACAGTGAACTTTATTATGTCTTAGGTTGCAATCCTATATACACACTAACCTTGCTTGGAATTAAGTCCTACTGAACTCAAAACAAGCTGACATGCACAGGGTTAGATTGTTAAAACATGTTTCAAAATGTATCTGGCCTTCTTTGTTTTGAGAGGAGCAGTTTGTTTAAATCAATAATGTGGAGCAAAAAATATATTTTTCTGAGAGCAGTGTAGAAAATAAATAGGAAGATAGCCTTTAAACAAACAACAGAAAAGGGACACACAGTTGTTCTACAAAAATATAGCTGAGGAAGGCTCAAACCAGACAAAATTACTATGAACTTAACCCCCCATATATTTGGGGATGGGAGGAGAGAATTTGCAGAACCATAGAAGAATGTTACCACCAATTCATATTGACCTTATTTTTCCACTGACCCCATGCCTGTCTCAAGCTGCATAATCATTTTTCCTATTTGTCCTAACAAAGAACCCTAGCAGTAAGAAAAAATAATATAAATACCATGCAATGTTCTTATTTAAGCCACAGAAATCTCTTGCTAGAGACCTGAAAGCTGGAAATCTCTTTTTCCCTTCCCCCAATTGTAATGCTGTCAAGCGTCTAATTAAGGGAGCTCAAAAACAAAACACAAACTTCAATAGTTTTATATTGGAAAACCAGAATCACCATATGAATAAACCGTACCTGTTTAGAATTCTAATGGAAGACTTTTGGCCTTCACATCGTCCAAGGCTGCTAATTAAAAAGGTAACCTTGAAATGCTTCAGCCAAAAGGCAAAGCCATTCATGTGAGGAAGCTTACAGTGGAACTTGTGGATTCTTGTTGCAGTTGGGAATATGGCCGTATCAAAGCAGTTTAACTCTTTGCAGAAGCAAAGCTTCCATTAAATCAAAATCCTTTGCCTGTGGCATGACATCCAGGTGACCCTGTTGGCCATCAAAACCAATTTAAGAATGATCAGTGCTAAATGCTAGATTGCAACACACACACACACACACACACACACACACACACGAAAGAGAAGCCGATTACCAAACTACAGCTAAGGTTCAGAAGACTGTAAAGTGGTGCAACGACAAATTTTGTTCCATTAAAATGCACCAGGTTTTGGAGCACAAATGGACCGTCATCAGATGGACTGCATATCTTGAACACGTAATTTTGAATTAGGAGAGTCAAGGAATCCCGCCCCCCCAAGTATAGTCACTGCATATTCATTATATGAAAGACATCAGACTGCTTCTGAATACCTTTTATCTCCTTTGTGCTAGGCTCACTTTGGAAGTTTCCTTTTGCTACACTTTCTACTAGGCTGTCTTCTCTCCCACCACCCAAGCTGTCTACATTTATGAAACTGAGCTAATTATTAGACACAAATATAGCCTTTGCTATCATGTGCTATCATGTGTACTATTTAGCATTTCTGGTTTAAAGTCTTTTGTACAACAGTGTCAGCAGCACTGATCTAAATTATCAGTTTCCCTTTTTAAGGGAGACTGAATGCCTAGCAAAAATCTGCTGCCATTCTGCAGCCTAATGCAATATCTGTAGACTCTGGAGAATAAAATCTTTTTTGGATTTTCCTGGTCTCAACCCTCCTCCTCAGCCACCAGGGTTCCTCTTGTCTGCTTTCCCTCCCCAACTAATCTGTTCCCTGCCTGAAAGGAGCATGTCCCCCCAGGGAAGGACCAACGGAGGGCAGTTGCCTCTCTCTCCACCTACACAAAATTCATTGTTTCTGTGATAGACTTCTCCTTGGAGATGGCAGGCAGAGAAACTCACTTTTTAGGATGTTCCCCCTCCCAGGCTCAGAGGTACTTGCTGGGTGTCTGAGCACAACCAGTTGAGCCTGGGGAGATCTAAGAGAAGCTTTAGGGAAGTCATCAGTCAGTCCCAAGAGTCATCTCAATGAAAACCATCCACAGAGGGACTCTGCTGGCAGAGGGATGAAGGAATAGGGGAGAGCCTCTTTCCTCTCAAGTTTCATGCTAGGTCTCTGAAATGCAGAGGTCAAGGGAAAATGTCTTGCTGTGTTATTTACATCAATATCATCATTTAACATATTAATCGCTGAACATAATGAAGTCTCCTTCATGTAAAATAGTATTAAAAATACGCAAAATTGTTAAAAAGAACGCCCCCCCCCGCCGCCAAAAAAAATTCACTCTAATTTTTGCAGCTGGGAAGGAGTGGTCGGAGGAACAAACCGCAACTCACAACTGTTCAGCTGAAGGGACAGGAAGAGGCTGGCTCTGTTTCTAAACCTGCCAGCTGCTCCAAGCTGAGGGAACCCCCATGTCTTGCCTTCTGTTCTGAACTGAGAGGCAGAACCTTGCTATGCTTCTGCAGGCTCCTGCCAAGCTTTGTGTATGGAGCAAGAGTGGGTTTCTCCAGGGCTTTTTTTCCAGTTGGAACTCAATTCTGGCACCTCTCAGGTGGGCGCCATTGCCATTATGAAAGAACAAGGGGAGGCATTCATGGTGAGTTCCAGCTCCTCTTTTTCTAGAAAAATAGCACCATCTGCACTGTAGCTCCAGATCTGGAGGAAATCTCAGGTGCATCTCACTCACCAGAGCCTGGCTCCTCCACTTGATGATGAGGACTGGTGAAATTGATCAAGTCATGCCTCCTAAGACACAGCATCTTCATGGGAACTAACCTTGTGAAAGATTCGCAGATCTTCCTCAAGAAACTAATCCTTTATCTCCCTCAGATTTTACCTATTTTACATATTCTTCCCAATCTGGACTCCTATTAAGTGGGCACAAAGATTGCTTAGTTCAACAATATTTTTCTGTCTTGACCTCTCTCTCTCTCTTGCGCGCTCTCTCTCTCTCTCTCTCTCTCTCTCACACACACACATGCCATCTTCAGCAGTTGTACTCATCGTCTGTTACACTTTATCGAATGTGACCCATTCAGCTTCAGACAGTTGTTCACGTGCGCATATTTGTCTAACAAGGTGTTTCAGTCTATCTGTATCCTTAGAGAAAATTTTTAAATACAACCCCCCCCCCCAAAAAAAAACACCTACTGCTGTCTCCCAGATAATTCTGGCTTTTCACCTTTTATAAGAAACAAATTCTCTCATGGCCAGTGGTGGGCAGGGCGAAATCAAAAGTGGGCATGGTCAAAGTGGGCATGGCTAGAGCTGAGAGTGGATGGGCTGCTCCAAACACTGATAGCTCATGCTCTCAGTCTCTCATTCTAGCCTTTCCCCTCCAGCACAGCAATTAGGCTTCAAAAAAGCCTTGCATTGGAGAGGTGCGTGGGTTTATGGGTGAGCGAGCCTGGGGCCAGAGCACTGTGAACCCCATCCAGCCCACAGAGCAGCAATTTCCCCATCCCTCTTCCACAGCATGTACTCATTTTGTAAATGTTTTAATTTATGTATAAAAAGTGAACCAGCAATTTTGAAGCGCCAATACCTTTTTAAACAGGGCATTTTAAATTTTACCCCCAATCAGGGAAGCAATTTCATTCTGTGTTTAAGGCATTAAGTAATAGAGAGGCAGCACTCTCAATTTCAACGGAAAATCGTTACAGCCGAAACAGAATTAAGAAATCAAGGCAGCTTAAATGGAAATATGGGGAAAGCAAAATTGCTTAAATCAATTTGGTGATTTGCAGTGTGATGGCACGGGCTAAAGCATGGACCGTGAGAAGGAGAGGAGGCAAGCAAACCTGCCAAAACAACCATTCTTTTTTGTTAGCTTCATCACTGCCCCCAAGTGGATATATCTTTTTTCTTCTGGCTGCCTCCACTCAACAGCCCTTTAATCTCTTGGACTTTTAACCCGCCCAACCTACTCCCTGGACTGAGGAGAGTGGTATGACATTTAGGTGTGGGGTGAATAAACAAGGCCCAAGAAAATTTCCCCCCCAAAACATGTCATGCTTTCAATTAAGGTTTTAGTGAGACAAGAAGTTAACAGTTTTTGTTTATTTTAGGGGGAAAACCCTAGGTTTACAGAGTGAGTAATTACTCATAAGAACAAATCAATAGAGAAATATGTACCTAGTTAGACCATTTCCTGAACCAAGTCAATAAGTCAACATTTGCACCTCTCAGTTCAGCTTCTAGGTCCCTTTCTGGCCTCTCTGATGCAATGCCCAACTGTGCTTTTTCCCCAGCCCTTTCTTCTCCCTCTCTTCAATTGTCATGGCTCTGACGCAACAAGTCAACTACAGTGGTACCTCGGGTTAAGTACTTAATTCGTTCCGGAGGTCTGTTCTTAACCTGAAACTGTTCTTAACCTGAAGCACCACTTTAGCTAATGGGGCCTCCTCCTGCTGCTGCGCCGCTGGAGCCCGATTTCTGTTCTTATCCTGAAGCAAAATTCTTAACCTGAAGCACTATTTCTGGGTTAGTGGAGTGTGTAACCTGAAGCATATGTAACCCGAGGTACCACTGTACCTTATTTTCTCGCTTGACTCCAAAGCTAATTAGAAAGAGTGTGTTTCCCCTACATTGCTAGGCTTGTTTGTTTACTTAAAACACTTCTTACCCACTTTTAATTACTGTATAATCCCGAAGAACGGTAAAATGGAAAGCAACAACACATAACACATCACAGTAACAACCCTAATTAAATTTCCTGTGCAGGAGAACCTCAGCAAAAAGTAACAATTTTATAAGAGGCAAACAAAACACGAAGGAGTGAACAGTTTCATTCCTTCACGTGCAGGATAGTTTAATTTATTACCAGCAATGCTTAGCTGGGTCGCTGAATATATAAATCCTAACCATCCATGACAAAGTATGCAGAATTGCTGACCAAATAGTAGATCAGGATAGATCAGCAAACGGAGCATATTATATGAAACAAAAATTTATAAATAGTAATAGTTCACCTTTTGCCAGCTCTTGCCTTAGTTTCATAACAGCACCAAGGTCACAATCAGCAGTTGCATATGCATGAGGTATGGTGGTTTTAGATTCTGTTAGCCTCTGAGCAATAACTCTTCTAATATTGCTAGCAGGGACTTCAGTGAAGGTGCCCTGTAATACAAATTAAAAAACACATTGCACATACTACATTAAAGGAAGACAAGTTCAATGAAATATGCTAATAGCAATAAATAACAAAGTTTGAATTTCAAAACAACATTGATGGTGAAAGCTGGAATGATGCGATCCACCCAGAACCATCTCTGCCATAAGGAAACTTTTCAAATGACCTCTCATCTTTTTGAACTCATTACACACTTTTTTATTTTTATACTGTTGACACAAGTGATAGATGCATTTTACTTGAAGGTGTGCTCCTGGCCAGTTCATTTGTTCCCTACAAAAATGAGGAAAAAGCCTCAACAAGTTTGTATATCTCCCACAAGTCTTTTTTTTTTTGTGCAATTAAAAAAGAGCACCTGTGTCTTCTCAGATAGCCCTGTATATTTTCTGGAGTTTCCATGATAGGGAAGCGATGGGAGAGCCGGGAGGCTCTTTTTAAATTCCCACCAACCCAAGAAAAGAAGGGGAAGGAAGGGAAAAAATGCAGCAGGACCACAGAATTGTAGAGTTGGAAGGGACCCCGAGGGTCACTTAGTCCAACCCAACGCAATGCAGAAAACTCAATCTAAGTAGATCCTAAGAAATGCATCCTTTAAAGCAGTGTTTCCCAACCTTGGGCCTCCAGCTGTTTTCGAACTACAATTCCCATCATCCCTGACCACTGGTCTTGCTAGCTGAGGATTATGGGAGTTGTAGTCCAAAAACAGCTGGAGGCCCAAGGTTGGGAAATGCTGTTTTAAAGATCCTTTAAAATGGGGGTGGGGTGGGGATCCTGCCCACCTTATAAGCTTAACTAATGTAATTTCGACAGTACTATGTGACCCCTGTTCATTTGGGGACACTTGCGCATGCTTATCCATGTCCCTGTGGTGGACATATGCAAAATGTTCTGTCTTCTTTCAACTGGGATGTGACAGATTCTAGAATTCGCTCCCTTCTTCCTTGGCATCTCTCGAGTCCCATCTGTATGTGACTATGACAGAGATAGCCCTGTATCTATCTATTCCCCCGACCAGCTATTTGAAAGAGATACTGTGATCTGAATATGAAGATCCCTCTTGGTTACTACAAAGCTTCCTCTTATTTTAACCCACATTACCGTGTTTCGTTTTGACCTGTCTGAAAATTCAAGGGGGGAAGGCAATTCTGCCATAGTTATTACCACGGAAGCAGGTCGACCTGGCACAGAAACAGGTGGAGCCAGAGGACGAGAAGCAGGAAGAGGTGTTGTTGCTGAAGGCACTCCAGGTTGTTGTGCAGGGAGTGAAGAAACCACTGGCTTTGCTGCTACAGGTTTCCCTTTCTGCTTCTGCTCTAAAAGCTTGAGGGCATCCCTGTTGTTTAAACGACAAATGCAGACACACTTTAGAATACAGTAAAAGCAGAAATGCAAAACAACCCACACCCCCAAATTAAAAACTAAATCTCTAATGCTAATGAGGATTGCTGTGAACCCCAACAACTGTTTGAAATATTTGTAAAGTTCTTTTCTTCAAACCAGAGCCACTTCCTGCTCCAAGCAATCCTCAACAATTATGGAAACAGTGGTTCACTAATATGACAAGTTGTGGTATGGGGAGTGGGGGGAAAGAGCTTTTATCATCTTTCTTCCGCTAAGGCTACCTTTCAATTTTCTTTTTGCCCTTGAGATATATATTTCGGACAAACCACATCCCATAGTGGGATGGGAATTTAATCCACGACAACTTCATCACCTTTGAAATCAAATGTGTAACTTGGGTTGGGAGTGAGGGGTTGGCAACACAAAAGCTAAAAACGTGACAAGGCTGTGAGTTAGTACTGCAATAAGACCTTAAAAATGTAGCTGGCAGCTGACCTGCTTTTTATATCACAAGACTAAAACTAAAATTAAAAACCCTAGGTGAGAAGACTGTGTGGAAAGTGTTTAATCCAAGATTAGAATTTATGAAATAGGAAGCAAACACATTTTTCATTTTGATTTCTTGCGCACGCAAATCTCCCTGCCCTGCCAACACCTTTTCTAGACACTGCTATTATTCTGTCCAGGGATTATGATGCAATATATACAGAACATAATCTTCCCACAAGTTTGGTGCATGAAATGCTCAGTACAAGGTACAGGTGAAGTTCCATCAGAAAATAACAAATTCTCCAGGGATGTATATGCTTCCAGCCAATGTACTAATGTCATTTTCATGGTTAGAGAAGCAGAATCACTTTTTGATTTTTAAAAATCTTACTCCAGTTATTTAAAAAGTCATAGAATCATAGAATCATAGAGTTGGAAGAGACCACAAGGGCCATCGAGTCCAACCCCCTGCCAAGCAGGAACACCATCAGAGCACTATAGAATCATAGAATCAGATATGAAGAATTTAAACAAGTATCCCAAGAAGTTAAAATATTCAAATATGAATAATTTGATTTATAACAGATTTTATTAATCCAGTGTACCAAACAGATCTTTCAAATGGTGACATTTCCACAAGCATCCATGAGGTGGGCAGACTGTAGACTGGTGAGATCTCCTCTTTTTATTTACTGAAACACAAAGGTTCAATTGGTTCCTGGTCCAAAATAGTGGCTCAGGAAGGCAGAATTGAGGAATAGGGTTCTTTCTACATGGCTCAGACCAACAATTGGTTTACTGTAACAAATTGAACTTTGAATCCTTTAACACAAAAAAACATTTTCCACAAATCTATTGCAAATCGTTCAGAGATGAATAACTAAAAGTTGATCAACCTTGTGCTCAGCACTGTTGTATTTCTCATGTATCATGAGAGATTTCTCATCTAGTTAGTCCATACAGCCCCCTCCCCCTCACTTTACAATTATGGCTGCACATACAGCTACAGTTATTATAGTCAGCCTAATACATTAAATGGAACAGTACCAACTAAACATTATTCTTCCTCTCAGCCATTTCTCAGACTGGGTAATATGAAGCTCAAATATCCACCGTACTTTACAAGACCCAAGACAATTTAGAAAGTTACTGGCGTATTTAAGGCTTCTAAAAATATGGATTGGATCCAGAATAAGTTGAACGTTGGTCTGCTTTTGGACGAGTCATGTGACCCATGCTGCACTCTCAATGTGGAAGAAGCACTTTTTCTGGGGCGAGAGCATGGATCAAAAGCGCAGCATCCAAAATGGCCACCGTGATCTCACCCGAAGAAACAGGATGCCCCATTTTTTTCCAGGGCACTTGGGCGGTATGTGCTGGTTTCCTCATCAAAAAATAGAGAGCCATCTTGAGGGATATGCAGTCCCTTTCCCCACATCCTTAGGGTGAATTTTCACTATAGCTAAGGAAATATCTACATTAATGGTGGCTGACAAAGCTTCCCATTTAAATCGGGTCCAAAACCATGTTATATGTTGACATTTCCTTTAAATGTGGTTACAGCAGAAGGGAAAGAACTTGATTCAGAGAGAGGGAGAGTGAACTCACATTCCTGAGGCTGGTTCCTGAATTTTTAACCATGATTTAGAACAGGCACCCCCAAATTCGGCCCTTCAGATGTTTTGGGACTACAACTCCCACCATCCCTAGCTAACAGGACCAGTGGTCATGAATGGGAATTGTAGTCCCAAAACATCTGGAGGGCTGAGTTTGGGGATGCCTGATTTAGAGGAAGTTAACTTTACATCCATACTGGCAAGATTATAACAAAAGTATCATTATTTACCTTTTTGTTTTATCCTCCTTTTCTCTTTAATTGGTGATTTAAAAAGAATACCTAGAAGGAATTCACTGCCTCAGGCTGTGATGATGACTACTAGCTTAGATGACTCTTAAAGATCGGCTTTTTTGCACATCACAGTAAACCGCCATAAATTGTTTGCCATGATTGCAACTGCTGTGCTAGCATATGGAAGAACAAACCATGATTCCAGGCTTAGTATTATATACAGGCACTAAATGGTTGTACGCAGTAAACCTAAAATATGTAGGCTACATATCATGGTTTGTTGGGAGTAAAACAAAAGCCATGATCCCTGGTTTGGGAGTAACATTAAAGCTAAATTGAAGTTTGTTTCCTCCACACACCAGCCCCCAAAGGCACATTCATGGCAAACTATTAACTATGGTTTCCTGTGACATGTGAAGTGGGTCAATGTATCTAACAGATGCTATCAGCAAGGGGATTAAATGGAACCTCAATGTTCAGTGGTAATATCAGATACTTGAAGCAAACAACAGAATTGAGGTGCTACTGACTGCAAATAGTAATAGCCTAGTTAGGATTTTCTGTCATTCATTCTCGTTCTTAAGGCAACTGTACTGTTTTCTTATTTTGCACTACAAGACATCATTGGAAATCAAATTGGAAATCAAAGCCAGCATACAACTGTATGTGTGAAACCTGTCAGTGGGAAAAAAATAATCTTGTTCCAAGTTACATAGATGCATTTTGGTAGGTAAAGAACAAAAAGAAGCCTGGGGAATTATATTACAGTGTTCATATAATGGAACATTGACTATTTTTAAAGACTGATATAATAAAGCCATAAAATTTTACAGTCTTCAATTTCTTAATTCAAAAAGCCATAACTAGCTTGTGCAGGAAGACTGGACAGCTTAAAATAGCTATTAGGAAATTTATACCGCTAGCTGCATTATTAATAGATTTTTCCTAATTCACAGAGATTTGAAAGTTGTGGTTGAAAGAAGTTTTCACCCTCATTCTCATACGATAAAATACCATTATCAACTCTTTCATACCATTACCAGCTTCAGTGACTTTGGAATAATTAACATATTCAAAGCACTATAGAAAATCTTAGTAACAGTAATAAATAATTACAGGGTTCAACAGGACAGGCCATTTGTCAGCCAGAAAGATGCTTAAATGTACTGAAAATTACATATATATCATACATACATCTTCTTTTAGATGCCACAGTACCCCCATAAAATTTAATTGCTTCCCCTGCGACTTGCATAGATAATATATTGCTGCTAGTTATGAATTAATTTATTTGTGACATGCAGCGCTTTAGTTAATAATTATGGGAGCCAATCTGGCTCATTAAAATCAATAGGGGTTTTGCCACTGATTTCAATGAAGTATGAACTTCAGCCATAAACATCTGACCTGGTGTGTGAGCTTCCTTTTCACTATTGTTTAATTTACACAAACAAGTGTCACTTTGCCTTTTATTAGATGTTCTCAAAGTATGCTGTATATAGTTATTTGATCTTTTTAAAAAATAATAATGCTATAATAGGTTGTGGATAGATCCTTATCACTGGAGGAAATGTGGTTATAGCCCAACACTTGGTGTATAAAAAAATATAATTCATATTCCAATTTTGCATCTAAGCTGGTTTCCAGGATTTCTTGGTTTGTGATACAAAAAGAGCAAAGGTATGTTTTAACAGGACAGAAACTGCTTCCGCTAAACTGTATAGAGGTTAGAACAAACAGACAATGTATATATTTCCAAATAAAGGTAAAAGCCAGTATTATTAAAACCAAATACAGGTTCATGTTAGTAAAGATTTTGTGGTAATTGACCAATGAATCCTTTATATGGAATCCAGATCCATTTCCACAATTAATTTGCAAGATAGAATGCAAGGGATTTAGCTACTTTAACTGGTTAAGATGTCACAGCCTATAAAAATTGTGTCTTACTGCCACCTGCAGTTCTGAAAAGAACCAGACTGGGAATTATCGAGCCAAATACTGTCAGTAAGATTAGCAAAAGAGTGTGAACAGAACAACTAAGAGGATTCTTTGTAGGTAGTGCTTTTTTCTAGGGGTACTCAAGGGGCAAGCAGTTCTGGCACTTTATTTTCTAGAAGAAAAGCACTGCTTGTAGGGCCACGGCTTCAACTGGACTCTGAATTTCTTCTCAAAGCTACATAAGCAGGTTTCAGTTTGGATGCCAGGCTAGCACTGGTCCTGAAATTTCTGCACCGGCTGCCAGTGAACTACCGAGCCCAATTCAAAATGTTAGCTAGTGTACCAAGTGTTAACAGTTTTGGGACTCAAGCACCTAAGAAAGCATCTCCCCTATGTCAACCATCTTGGGCCCCACAATCGGTAGGGGACACCCTATTGGTGGTGCTCTAGCAGCCATGCTGTTGGCAATGACCTACAGCAGTGCCTTCTTGGTGGTAGTTCCCCGTTTGTGGAATGCCCTGCCTGGTGAGATGTCTCTCTCCCTCATTACTGACTTTCAGGAGAAAATTTAAAGATATCTGCTTACCCAGGTATCTGATGGCTGATAAGATACTGGCCATGGCAATTCTGAAATTAGTAACTGTGAGGGGATGCGATGGCTTTGAAATATTCTAAATTGTTTTAAAATATGTTTTTTTAAAATAAAATTTATTTAACGTTGTATTTTTTTAACGTTTTGATGTCTGCCGCCTTTGGGAGGAAGGACATTATACAAATTCAATAATAAATAAAAGATAGATTTCCCAAGCCGTAGTTAAGTCACCTTCAAGACAGAAAACTACTGAGGTGATATCTCCCACATGGCAGGTCCATCTTTACACAATTCACTAGTTTCCCCTCTGGCTTCCACACAAGTAGTCATTTTACTGGCTAACTACAGCTGCCATAGAACATTCAGTCTCCTTGGCAGTTACGGCCAATAACATTCAGCAATCCAACTACCGACATAAAGACCATGAACTGCAATCTGTAAATAACATTCAGGCAGCAGGCAGTTGTCATGTGCACACTGAATGTTACTTCTATGCACAGAACTGCTGATTCATGCATGTTTAGAGACTCACTTCCAAGTAGGCAACTTTGCCCATAGTTCACTTATTTTAGGATTTGTTTATTTTTCCTACTGAAAAGGGTTTACTGAAAGCATAAGGGTTGCCTAACCCATCCAAGTTTTTTTATCATACATTTATCATACATTTTTTCACATACAAGAGATCCATGTTTACCTGTTCCTTGCAATACAACTCAAAGCAGATGTGAGAGCAAAGTTGGAAGAATGAACAGCCCTTCTGAATTTGGCAGGTTTCCAAACAGCATGGTACATACATATTATGTAGAAACACACCTGCCCCTATTTTTAATATTCAAATATCCACAAATATCACCTGCATTCATAGTAAGACTATGGCCAGACTCCAAAGAACTGTGCAACTAATTTCACACACACGAGGGACTTTTGGCTTGTGTCTTTCAAGCCGCAGATCCCTGTGCCGTAGCTCCAAACCTAGGAAACTTTGAATTTGTGATACAGCTGGCATGGGGAGGCTATTAAAAGTGTAAAAAGCAAACTAACTAGCCAAGCTCAAAACCTTGGCTGCACCTATAGTAGCTTTCTAAGATCCTAGTCCATATTTTTTCCTTTAATACAGTGGTACCTCGGGTTAAGTACTTAATTCGTTCCGGAGGTCTGTTCTTAACCTGAAACTGTTCTTAACCTGAAGCACCACTTTAGCTAATGGGGCCTCCTGCTGCTGCCGCACCGCCAGAGCACGATTTCTGTTCTCATCCTGAAGCAAAGTTCTTAACCCGAGGTACTATTTCTGGGTTAGCGGAGTCTGTAACCTGAAGCATATGTAACCCAAGGTACCACTGTATAGGAATTGGGTTTTTTTAAAATTATGTAAACACTGGATAGCTAATCAAATAGAATGAAAAGTGCCAAAATTACTAAATAAAGTAATGCTGCCTAATCAAACAGAGGAAACTATTGACACACCGTATTTTTCCGTCTCCAATTTAAGAAAATGGGGGGAGATGGCCTCCATGTATAAGACGCCCCCAAATTTTGGACATTTATTTTTTAGGGGGGGAAACACTAGTCTTATACACGGAAATTACAGTAATAATCCAGCTAAAACACTTCAAGGTATTCCAAGTTACAAATGAATGAATATATGGGAAAAGTTCAAGTCCTTGATTGCTCAGGTATTTTGAACAGGGTATCAATAGAAGAATTGTATGCTTAATTCCCACACACTCCCAAGGAAATGGCTCAAATACACAGGATATATGTTCTGCCATTCCTTTGAGTTTTGAAAAGAGCAGCCAAGGCAAAAAATAATTGCTGAACGTATCATCTACAGAATTTGAGTCTTTTGCTTGTCAGTAATGCCCACATGCTATACTGATAGTAACCACCATTATGAAAATAATTGCAGACAGCTTATGCAGTTACACAGCTTTGTATACAGTGGTGCCTCGCAAGACGAAATTAATCCGTTCCGCAAGAGTCTTCGTCTAGCGGTTTTTTCGTCTTGCGAAGCAAGCCCATTGACGGATTAGCGCTATTAGCGCTATCAGCTGTTTAGCGGCTATTAAAGGCTTAAAGGCTTAGGGGATTAGCTGCTAAAAGTCTATTAAAGGCTATTAAAGGCTTAGCAGATTAGATAAAGGGGAAAAGCGAAAAAAATCTCAGGACTCGCAAGGTATTTTCGTCTTGCGAAGCAAGCCCATAGGGGAATTCGTCCTGCGAAGCAACTTCAAAACGGAAAACCCTTTCGTCTAGCGGTTTTTCCGTCTTGCGAGGCATTCGTCTTGCGGGGCACCACTGTACTACATAAAACACTTGACTGTCCAGTAAACATAAAAGTTAATTGGGTAACAACATGCTAATAGGGAAACCTGAAAGAGGAACGAGAACAATATTTGATGGCAGCAATGATTAATCAAGGTTTATGGTAAGTGCCAATGTGAATATATATTTGTAAGCATTGCAGTACTTTCCAGGACAATGATACAACCCACCACATTATGTGTGATGAATTGCACTTAATACTGAAACTGGATGGCACTGGATATATATTTCAATCTTTTAAATTTCTTGCATTCAAGAGATCTACAGAATAATAAATAAACAAGTTATCCTGCAAACAGACACTTGCCTTGCTGCCTTCAACTAGTAAGCCTGACCAGCCAGACAAAGCAGTAATAATTTCATTCAAAAAATGTCTGAGAACTCCTGTTCTGTGATAGTTTCACACCAGAAGTATCAAGGCTAGCCCAATACATTTTGTAGCCTGAGGTGAAGTAGCCAATGACATTTCCCACCTGTCTGCAAGTCAAGAACCGAGGGTCAGCCAAGTTATTTTGGCATCTGAGCTAGCAAACGTCATGAACACCTTTTCTCCCATCCTGGCATTAAAAATACAATAATAAAAAAATTAACAACTTATTGCCCTTTCATGACACCTGAAATGTGTTGCCCAAGATAGCTGCCTCACTATACCTATTAGTAGCGCCAGCCTTGAGAAACATCTACTCTGAATCAGCAAAGAACCATGTATTTAGATACTGTACAGAAATAGCATCAGTTGCATTTCACTGTACAGTAACTCCTTGGGTAACGTAAAGTTCAGGTTGCAAAAGCAGCAACCCTGGAAGTGTTTCGGTAATTCAGTTCTAAGGGCAATATCCAATGCCCTTGTTCCATTAGCATAGGCATAGGCAAACTCGGCCCTCCAGATGTTTTGGGACTACAACTCCCATCATCCCTAGCTAACAGGACCAGTGGTCAGAGATGATGGGAGTTGTAGTCCCAAAACATCTGGAGGGCCGAGTTTGGCCTATGCCTGGATTAGCACAACGATTGATGCTTGCGCAATATAATGTTCCCCTCTCCCCTCCCTTCACGTGCTCCCTACATCTGCTGGGATTTGGGAAGGGTGCAGGGCACATGCCCAGCCAAGTTTCATTGCCCAAGCATAAATCCTTGAACTTATGGGACATGAGACTTTGCAGTACTTTGGATGCAAGCCTTAGCTGCACGGCATATATTTTGCCAACTAACATTCATTCAAATCTGCTTATCCAAACATTTAAAAAATCCATACACGGGTGTGTGTTTTCTTTAAAAAAACCCAATAACTATGAGTGAATGTGTCCCTCTTTTTTACCACGATTTAGTAATTTTACAGTGATGATTTAAGCAGCAAACTCCTCTTTTAAATGGGCTATTCCAAGACAATTTATTCTGTTAAAAGAAATAATAAAGGTAGGTGTTGGCATGTGTGTGTTTTAAAGGCATTTCTCTAGCTGAAAACATTCCCTCTACTCCTCTAGCAAAATCTGTGGTACATCTCCATGGCTACCAGGAAAAGTTAATTAGATATCTTTGTGACCTAGAGGGTTCCCACCTGCCACGAACTACTTACATACCATAATTTACAGTTACACTTACATAATGACTAAGCTTTCTGATAATGAGCTGCTATTACAAATGATATAACATCCACACAGCTCACTGTTCTGTCTAAATCAGGTCACAATGTGAACGAAGCACAAGCTGTGCTGCTTCTCATTGTTGTTTGTTTTAATATACAATTTCCTAAACCATTTAAATCTAGGTCTTGCCTTGGTATAGGTCTATAACAGTATAGGCAGACAATTTTTTCTAAGGAAGGGGGAAAGCAGCCTTCAAGCAGAGGTTAGATGGCTTCCCATCAGGGATTCTATAGCAAAAGATACCTACAGTGATACCTCTGGTTACAAACTTAATTTGTTCCGGAGGTCCATTCTTAACCTGAAACCATTCTTAACCTGAGGTACCACTTTAGCTAATGGGGCCTTCTGCTGCCGCTGCACCACCGCCGCACGATTTCTGTTCTCATCCTGAGGTAAAGTTCTGAACCCGAGGTACTACTTCCGGGTTAGCGGAGTCTGTAACCCGAAGTATTTGTAACCTGAGGTACCACTGTATATCAGCAGTGGGTTGGACAAGAAGGCCTTCGAGAAACTGTTCCAACGCCATGGTTCAACCAAGTTATGTAATTTCTGTCTACTTGAAAAACTCAATAAATTCAAAACCAAAACCAAAGCACTATACAGTGGTACCTTGGGTTACAGATGTTTCAGATTACAGACGCTTCAGGTTACAGACTCCACTAACCCAGAAATAGTACCTCAGGTTAAGAACTTTGCTTCAAGATGAGAACAGAAATCGAGCGGCGGCAGCAGGAGGTCCCATTAGTTAAAGTAGTACCTCAGGTTAAGAACAGTTTCAGGCTAAGAAAGGACCTCCGGAACGAATTAAGTTCTTAAGTTAAGTTCTTAACCTGAGGTACCACTGTAATTCATCTGCTACTAATCTATTGATCACACAGGTTTCAATATCAGAAACTGCTTAATCGGGACATCAGAATCTTTTGTGGCTGTGGAATGTGTGATGCATAAACTAGTGGCCAAAATTGTGTGAAACCTTTTGGGAAAAGTGTATTTCTGAGGTTTGATGGCTCATAACACTACTTTTTTTTTTTTAGTAATGTCATAAATTATATATCAATGGGAAGATAATTTAATGAAGAATGTAATGCAATAAAGTTTGTTCAATTATCTATACTCTATCAAACGTTATAGCCAAATAACCAGAAAAAGGAAGCACAACTTGCTTAGGCTGATATGCAGCAGCTTTCCTTCACTTGAATGTAGTCAATGTGCATGAGTGTTTAGAGAGCCAATCAGGTGTTAAAAAGGTAAAGGGACCCCTGACCATTAAGTCCAGTCGCGGACGACTCTGGGGTTGTGGCGCTCATCTTGCTTTACTGGCTGAGGGAGCCGGCATTTGTCCGCAGACAGTTTTTCCAGGTCATGTGGCCAGCATGACTAAGCCGCTTCTGGCACAACCGAACACCGAAACCAGAGCAGCGCACGGAAACGTCGTTTACCTTCCTGCTGGAGTGGTACCTATTTATCTACTTGCACTTTGACATGCTTTCAAACTGCTAGGTTGGCAGGAGCAGGGACCGAACAACGGGAGCTCACCCTGTCACAGGGATTCGAACAGCCGACCTTCTGATCAGCAAGCCCTAGGCTTTAGACCACAAATCTCGGAAATACACTTTCCCCAAAAGGTTTCCACAATTTTGGCCACTAGTGTACTCCACTACCCACAAGTCCTTTCCCATTCATGCCAACTGAGTTAGATGTTAGTCTTTTCCTGTCAAGACTCTAGATAGACCTAGCAACTCCAGCCCTTGCCTGCTCACTTCCTCCTTTATGAGGTTTTGATGCAGTCTTGCTTTTCTCTTTCATCCTTCCTTTCTTCTACCACACATATATACCAATATATTTCAAAGTTCAAATATGCCACAATCTAATAACGATTAGAAAATCTTCCTAAGATAGCTTCCAATACCTGTTTCAAAGGGCATCAAATCAGTCTCAACATCTACCTAGCATTGATCCTTCCTACAAAAAATAATTGAGGAAGAAATATAGAAATAAAGGAAGAAAGGGGTGAACAGGTGCCGTACTCTTTAGTGAAGATGCTTCGAGGACCTGAAGGTGTGCAACCGCTTGCATCAAGTCCATGTGTCTCCAGAATGTTGCGAGCAGCAGGACTTAACCGAAACCTACAGACAAAGCAAAAACTGCATTAAAAAGGCACATATTTAAAAACCTGTCAATTTTGGTAAAGGAGTTTATGCACCACCATCCTATATTCTAATTCTGAACCAAGCCTTTGTATGCTCTCACTTTTGTAGTCAAAATGACAACAGGCCACACACAGTATCAGGAGACTTGTGGTAACCCTGAAGTTAGTAGAAGTAAAAAAATTAAATTAAATTAAAAAAACAGGACAGCCAGAATATTAAACAACATATTTAAGAATGTAGCATCTAAAAAAAAGCACATTTGATCATCCTGTTGCATACATATAAATGAACTTTAGAAATCCACCAATACCTGGATGATCTATGTATCTGTGGACCCTATTTCCAGACTAATGGCTCTTTCTCTTATTGCCAGGAAACTATCAAGTTGTACAGCTCTAGCTATGCATAATTTTGAATGCTTAGAAGTTGATTGTTTTCACATACACAATTGAAGATTATACCAACAAAAAAATTGACCAAAACACTCTACACATGAAAAATAAGTTGGTGGGTATATCTCCCATCACAACCATATAACTGAGATTCTGAAATGTGTTTAATGGAAGAAAAAATAATCACGGGGAACACTCTTTCCAAGAGCGTCGCTGAGAATCAGACCAGACAATACTCGGCTAAATGGACCAACGGTCTGACTCAATATACAGCCCTACAGAAAAGTTAAATCCTTTTGTCTCCAAGCAAATCCAAAAAGACATGGGGCCCTTTACCTCAAGGACCTCCTTGACATTAAAGGGTTCACCATCATGCAGAATGTCACAAGCTCAACTACAGTATAACTGGTCACTTATTTCAATGCTTTATTTCAGCATTGCTCATTACATTCTGAAGTGAAGGATGTCTGTCAAGTCTTCCAATATTATGACACCAGTATTGGAAGGTCTACAACCGCAGCAGTTTTCCTCATTTCTTCTGCTTTGTGTAATATCTTGCCTGATGAAGAGTTCTGAAATCATGTCACTATTTTGTGACATTTTGTTTGGTCCTAATAAAGATATTACCTAACTCTGGCTTTCGGAGAGTTTTTTTTATTCTTATGGACCGACATGGTTCCCCTTGCTTTTTATACAGCCAGTACTGCTAATACCATTGCTATCACTGAAAGTTCACAGGGGTATTAAAACTGGTCTCTTACCTCCATGCTTTAACCAAGGTTTGTTGGTTAAAGATTCCTGCATCTTCATCCAAAAGCACTACAGTAGTAACCCTCTGGTTATGTAAACTTCGGGATGCGAAAGCGGCAAACCCAGAAGTATTTTACTGGGTTTTGCCATGCGTGCATGTGCAGAAGCAGTCCTCAGGTTGCGGAAACCTCGGGATCCGACCGGACCTCCGGAACGGATCCCGTCCACAACCGGAGGTACCACTGTATTTTTCTCTTTTGTATAGCATGCAAATCTACAGGCGTAATCACTCTTTTTGCCATAGCTTTGCAGCAGTATTAAGGGCACTGAATTTGGTTGTCATCAAACGCTAACTTTTTGTTGGGCATGATCAAAAAGTGAAAGCCTTGGCTCAAAAGTATGCAGAAACTCACTGTAGCTTTCCAGCATGGTGTTCCACTTTATGGGCCAATGTTACTGAAGGAGTGGGAGGTGGGGCTGCTGCTGCTGATGGCACAGCAATGCTCGTTTCAGTTGGTATTTCAACTTGCTTCCAGTCTTGTCCTTCGTCCACTAGCAAGGCGATTAGTTGACCCAAACGCACATTTCTGCTTCCTTCTTCCTTCTGAAAATGGATGGGGGTGGTGGTAGAGAAATCAGGTTGATGTCTACATGCACACACCTGTAACTAATGTAAATGTTTTATAGTTGGGAAAGAGAAATATGCTCCCCTGCACCCACTCAGCAGCTTCACCAGCCCAACCACTTCTTCTAAGGGGCTAGGACTACCTAGTCCTGCAGGATATCTAGCAGAAGGTTTAACGCTAAAAGTTAAATACAAGCCCATGAAAGAACCAGAGTATTTTTTAGCAGCCAACCTGGACCCTGCAACAGAGTCTCATATTCTAGTTAGTATAACTATGCCATGCTCCTGAAGTTAGTTGCAGAAGCTGTAGCATAGACACAAAGCAAACTATTTCACACTGCAATTCTACGCATATGTATCCAATCAAACTTATCTCAAGTCTCCTACTGATTACAGTGAGACTTGCTCCCAATAGGACTGCACGGTCAGAAACATGCTGTACTGAGGTAAATATGCTCAGCAAATAGTAAACATGCTTACTGACATTGTCCCCAGAAACAGATAAGGCGACAAACCTGTGTCTGGGCTATACCATTTCAAAATGATGATGGAGATTCACATGAGTGAATGCTCAGAATTCTTAGTGTTCAGAATGACTGTAATTATAAGCTGTATTAATTAAATCACAAAAAGAAGAGGAGGAAATGGAAAAGGGGAGGGAACAGATGCCAGGATGTTCCATATTTTCCCATTTAATAAGATTTGCTTTTTAACCAGGTGATAGGGGGTGCGCAGGGGATTTTTTTGTGAACAGAAATCCACATATTTGGTTATCACAAACAAACACTGTAGTGTTTGCATAAGAAGCAACTAAAAAGGGCACATCTTACGTCATGCTTCAAGCAGGCATTTTCTTGCTTGGTTTCTTCCTTAACTAGCCTGGCTGCTATTTCATATCCTTTTCACACATTGGGCTATTTTTGAAACTCATTTGCAAAACACGCTTAAGCAAACTATTTCAGCTCACTACAAGTTCAGTATCAGGACCAGTGATGTGATAAGAATTTACACAAGGGACTGCACATCATAACACTGCCTTAATGGGATTTTAATGTGCAACATTAGTAGACTTTATAATAGTGTTTTAAATGCAGCCTCAGTGTAAGATATGCTGACAGAAGGGCTTCTGCATATGACTTTGCTTGGTTAAGACTGTTCTCCATTCTGCTACATCCCTTTTTCTCCCCCAATGTATTTACCAATAGCGGGAAAGAAGAACGGAAAAACAAGAAATACCCTTCATTTCAATGAACACATTTCTCAACTCGTTCAATCTGTACTGTATTATAACAACCCATCATACTGACAATACAAAAGGTCTCCTCCTCATTACCAGCTGCAATGATGTGGTGTGAAAAAAGTATTACTTCCAGACACAGAGCAGCTTCTGTTAAAATAAAATTCTTCCGTCAAAAAGCATTACAAAAACATTTAAAAAACAGATGCTTGGTGGACTAGCAAATCAATCACATTCTGATGCCAACAGGCCTAACAAGCACATTTGAATACAAATAAGTTATCCTCATAAGCGTATTTTATATACATGTGTATGAGTACAGTGGTACCTCGGGTTACAAACGCTTTGAGTTACAAACCCTTCAGGTTACAAACTCTGCTAACCCAGAAGTAGGTGCTCCGGGTTGTGAGCTTTGCTCCAGGATGAGAACAGAAATAATGTGCCAGCGGCGCGGTGGGAGAGGGAGGCCCCATTAGCAAAAGTGCACCTCAGGTTAAGAACAGTTTCGGGTTAAGAACGGACCTCCGGAACGAATTAAGTTCGTAACCCGAGATACCACTGTACACATATTGTGGGATCAATTGATTTGTAAACCCATTTCAACAATAAGAGCATAAAAAGAGCCTGATGGATCAGGCAAACAGCCCATTAACTCAGCATACTGTTTTTGCAATGGTCACACAGATGCTTTTGGGAAACCAACAAGTAGGATCAAAGCACAAGAGCACTCTTCCCCTCCTGTGGTTCCCAGCTGCTGGTATTCAGAAGCATACTGCCTCCAACAGCGGAGGCAGACAACAGCCATTATGGCTAGAAGTCGCCGATAGCCTTATCCCCCATTAATTCGTCCAATCCTTTCCAAGACGGTGGCCACCAATGCCAACTGTGGAAGCGAGTTCCACAGTTCAACTATGAGCTGCATAAAAGTGTACAGCTAAAACCTTTCACCATAGAGGAGTCCCCTTAATCATTTCAGTGACTCTTTTCTGAAGCCTTTCCAAAATCCTTTTAGAGGGAAAGCGAACAGAATTGTACGCAATATTCCAAATGCGGTTGCTCCACAGATTTGTATAATGGCACTGCAATATTGACAGTTTTATTTTCAATTCCTTTCCTAACGATCGCTAGTGTGGAAATCGTCAATTTCCCAGCTGCTGCTCTCTGGGTCAACATATTCATTAAGGTATCCACTGCAATCCAAGGTCTTGTTAGTCACTGCCAGATTCGACCCCATGAAGGTAGTGCTCACTTCGGCAGCACATATACTAAAATTGGAACGAAGGTATATGTGAAATTGAGATTTTTTTGCGCCAACATGTATCATTTGATGCTTGCTTACACTGATGTCTCTCAGAGCCAATCAGCTGATGGACCCTAAGAAACATTGCCTTTACAAAACCACTTGCAAATGAACTAAATCTCCTGCAAACAGACTTAAAGGTGAGCCCCTTTCACGTTGTTGCTTGACAACGTAATAATATCAAGTGATTGACAAGTGAGTGGCTCTGCCCATGTATCAAAGTTGGCCTGTGGAGTGGTGGGGAGAAAGGAGGATCTCATCTGCCAGTAAGATCCAATTCCACATCCCTGAAATAAAGGAAAGTCTTAGCAAAGAGTCTACTGATTGCTGAGCTCATATACCAAAGGCCGTAATATAGAATAAAAAAGTTCTCCCTACCATTATTTTAGCCAATATGCCATCATCACTTGACTCCATGGTAACCACTGCTTTATCTGTTTCAATTTCACACAATGCATCTCCAACAGTCACTGTTTCTCCTGTAAAAATCAAAAGATAGTTCAACATTTTAAATCAATTCATTTCAGAGCACTGAGAAAAAACAGTATTTTAAAACCATATAGTGTAGCATGTTTAGAAAGAAAGTCAAGACACAATGGTGAAAACTGATACTGGAAAAGAGAGGGACTACACTTAGCAACTCACAATAGCATTACAAAATGATTCTACAGTTCAAGGAATCTCAGTAATATAAAGTGAGGAATAAAGGCATTTGCAGAACCTTATTACCACTTTTTAATCAAAAACCACCCTAAATCCCATCATCATATAATTTGGCATATTGAGATGGGGTGGAGGTTATAGCCTGTCATGTAGGTGCACTAAATATCAAGAAGCCAAGTACAGTCATACCTTGGTTCTCAAATGCCTTGGTACTCATACATTTTTGCTCCCAAACACCGAAAACCCGGAAGTGAGCGTTCTGGGTTTCGAACATTTTTCGTAAGCCGAATGTCCGACACAGCTTCCGCTTGAGTGCAGGAAGCTCCTACAGCCAATCGGAAGCCACACCTTGGTTTTTGAATGTTTCGGAAGTCGAATGGACTTCCAGAACGGTTTCCATTCGAGAATCAAGATACGACTGTACTCTCTTTGCCACTGCTAACTTCAGCTTTAGTCTTTACCAGCTCTATCATTTTGCTACCTCCAAGGGAAAAGGGTGTCAAGTTGGGGGCAGCAAACCTATATGGGAAATGGATGGCAGCAAGCTGGACAGTAACAACTGTTAAAGCAAGGACAGTGTGAACTGGGGCAATTGGGGGAGAGATTAGGGTGGCAGTGAGGGAAAGGCAGCACTGAAAAATCTAAATAAAAACATTAAAAAGCTGTAAGGGATATGAACCAATGGCTGATTCAGAATCAGTCATAAGGGTTGCTCCCAAGCTAGGACAATCCAGAGAGGGGGGTTTTTATTTAAAAAAAAAAATCAATGGCACCATCTGAATCAGCAACAAAAATTGTAGATAAAGAAGAATCTAGTCCAGTCTTGATAAGCAATATATTCTTTAAATGATAAATTGTTTTGAGCTCTAAGCAGAGATTTCAAACAAATGATATTTTAATTCATACTATCATTTGCAGATAAGCAATGCTCCTCTGCCTTCTCCACCCTACCAAAAAGAGAAGAAAACTGGGAAGCAACTCTGCAAGCTCAGTTTCTTTCAACATGAAACAGTCCTTTTAGAAATGCATTTTCATTTTTTAAATGAAATAGAATCGTTTCAAGACAGTATTTTCTTCTCAATTCAAGAAGATCACCATCTGCTGCCTTGTGATAGCAGACCTGTGAACTCAGACGCCTTTGTCTACTGAAAGACCTGCTGGATGGCTGCCATTAAAGATGGATTACAGTGGGAAGCTGGAGAGGCTTCTGAATGGTTCTGGGGTCAAAGCCATCCAACACACACCTTCTCTTTAGAGTACTGAAGTAACAAAGGCTTGCTTATGTACCAACTTTGCATGCAGTACAGTTTTCATCAAAATATGAAAAAAGGCTTTTAACAGTCTTGCCTAAAGGAAATGGAGTGACTTGCCTAAGCCCTAAATTGGATTTGTCTTTGTTTTTTTTATGAAACACTTAAAACATTGAGCAATTACGGTGGCAATGTGTAATAGCTGTGTCAATGAAATGACACACACGTCTTTGTCTTTTCCTTCCTCCATTACTACATTCATGGAAAACAAAAGAGAGAATATTGAAAGAGTGTGATGTTTATAACTCAGGTGCCTTTGGTAACAGTAAGCAGATGCCAAATGCAATCTTCTTTCAAAACTGTATTTGGTCTCTTCAAACATTTCACTTCAAGAAGAGGAATAATGGTCTAATTATCTGTCCAATAAAACACCTGTCTGGAAATTACTGGATCTTTCCTCCCATTATTTGCTTTCCATGGGTTTACCCGTTAAATCCTGAAGAATTAGTAAGAATTCTCAAGATGCCTTATGTCAGAGATTTTGCCAGTATTTCAATACATTAGCCTCGTGAATGAACGTTATTGATTTGGAATGTCCTTTTGACATATGGAATAGATGTGGAACTATTTAGATGGATAGCAAGCATCTGCATGAGAGAGTGCTTAATTTTAGAGAGAAGAATAAGAAAATCCCATGTCCAGAACAGAAACTGGGGCCAAAAATGAGTCATTTTTAATGCTATGGGAGATTCAAACTCCTGTGCTGCTTTATTTAAGATAGCAACAAAGGTAGCTAGCTACCTTTATTTTTAAACAAACATATTAATGCAAATTTTCAGAGGCCCAGAGTTCAGACTATATTTGGGTCGTCCCCCCCCCCCCCAGCCACTCAAATCCTCTTTAAAATATGTGATTAAACCGTACTAATTTAAAACCTTCCAAATGCCTTAATAAAGAGCAGCTATTTTAAGTGACAAGAATCTAGAAGAGCAGTGGTAATGAATGACCCAAAATATCATTTTGTTAAGAAGTTAGTCTTAAAAATAAAAAAGCCTTTCCTAATTTAGAGATGGCACCTGCAAACTGATAGAATGTTTCAAAAACTCATTAACACTACAGATAGGCTGATTTATTAATAGCATATGCCTGAAATATTTTATAGACTAGTAGGAGTCCGAATAATTCATGCTACAGAACTCTCAAAAGCCAAGTCAATTTTATTGTTTCCTTCATTTAAGAGGTGCCTCTTCCTACCAACGGAGATCTGATCTACATATGGAACACACCATGAAGAACTAAAGTTGTAAAGTCCTGTGGTGGAATGGACTAAACCAACTCAGAATACACATGGGGGGGCGGGGTAAAACACATTTTAAAATGATTCTCTATCTAGAAAATGCCCTGCACATTTTTTTAAAAAAACAAAACCCAACCTAGCAAAGCTGGCTGGACTACAACCTCTCCCCCTATTGTGTTAAGTGTTCGATTTGCAGGGAGGATGGTATCTAAAGCTTCTGTCATCTGCCCTGCATGTGGGCTGGAGACCAAGGTTTAGTCAGTCCACTTTCCAAATTGCAAATACTGTACCTTTGAACAAGTGAAACAAATACGCGCTGCCTTAGGCCAGAAAATGCCTGAAGGGAAAGAAGTGCAAAATGTGCTGCAAATTTGGTGGCTTCAGGCTTTCTGCGGCTTATGGCTTGCAGGCGAAGTAAGCTCTGTTTAGCTACAAATCAACATGTTTTAAAGTTGTATCAACTGATGCATACATTTTTGCCTTAGTAAACATCAGAAGCCCAAAACTGAATTAAATGAGTCTCTCTTTTGCACAATTTTTATCATCTTAATTCATATCGCAACCGCAGCAGTCACTGGAAACATTCCAGAGAGTTGATAAATCTTGCAATTTTTTTTAAAAAAATCTTGTATTTTTATGTAGTGAACTGCCCCGAGATCTATCGATGAAAGGCAGTAAACAAATTAAATAAATAAATGATACAAACTACTCTGATTTTTGTGATTCAGCGGTATACAAATACGTTAATAAATAAATAATGGTTTAGAAGTAGTGCAGAGTCACTGTAGTGCAGTGGTTAGTGTGAACTACGACTGAGAAGACCTAGGCTCAAATCTCCACTTGGCTGCAAAGCTCACACCAGGATACAGTTGTGGGGCAGGGGGATGAGATGACCACATATGCCACCATAAGCTTCTGAGAGGAGACGCAGTATATCAATGTGTAAATACAATGTATTGCAGTGATTACACTGTGGTAATTCTTTTTGATGGAATTAAGATGTGGTAATTCTTTTTGATGGAATTAATATGTAGACTGAAGTGGAAAAAAGACACAGTTCTCAGTGCTCCAAAACGGCATTTAAGTTAACTCAGATTCACCTTCCTTTTTCAGCCATTTCACTATGTTTCCTTCTTCCATTGTAGGTGATAGCGCAGGCATGAGGATTTTAACTGCAGGGGTACCTTGGAAAGAAAGAAAAAAAAGGAATATCAAGTCACCCGATAAGGATATGATTTCATTTTATCAGCGTAAAGAGGAGTAATAAATCCTATGTAACCCTATGCACACTTACTCCTTTGTAAATCCCACTGAACTCCATCATAATTGCTACAAAGCAGCCATACAGGAGGCGTCTGGCAGCTGTACCGTAATTTGTGTAGCCAGAATGTGAGCTGAATTATGCCCATGGTGAAGTTGTTGCGTAAAGAGCTTGCCACAAGCACAACTTGTAATTTGTACTACAACACTGCAACAGAGAGTTGAGTGGTGGCAATTTAAGTAAAAGTGGATCAAGGTGAAAGATGTCCTCATGGTTGTGTCATAAGCTCAGCTCAGTCTACATACAAATTTACCCACATCAGTTTTAGTCTAAATAATTGGATCTCAGTATATCCTTAACTTAACAACTCCTACAGGGGCAACCAAAGAGATAAACTTGATGCAGTGTAAAAAATACATGCCCAAGCATTGTATTTTTTTAATAAATATGTTTTATTAAGTTTTACAAATAAAATTTCCATCAAAACACATGATTCACCATTGCACACAGGATGCCCAAGCATAGTATTAAATTATGCTTGCTTGCACAGTATCAACTTTCTCAAGCTACTCTATTGTAGATCTGTCATGGGAATGAAAGGCATATATACAAAGCATAATGCCAAACAATATTACCAAGAAACTGAATTTTGTGATTACATACTTTTTTGGATTATTATAAGAACTATTTCATGTATTGCTCAAATCCTGACTACAAGCAACCTTAACTTAATTTCAAGAGGTTTTAGATATGACTTTCTAATTTAACCTAGCCTGTCAAAGTCATCAGTATGTAATCACAAAGAACTATGCATTCCATAAGGTTTTCTGAGGCACTGGTATAATATTGGGTAAGGTTCATATTGATCTCAGACTGGACTTGAGCAACACGTGGAAAAACTCAAATTATACCCATCTGTGAAAGGAAAGAAACCACAGTGACCTGCCTTTGAGTAATGTGTCAGAGTTACAACATCATTATTGGAGAAATTCTAAAACGGGATCATTATTCATTAAGCAAGAAAGGTGACTAAATAAGCTGTTGCAAAATCAGACTATAGTGTGAAATGTGGTCTCATTTTTAAATAATAATAATAATAATAACATCAGGTATCAAATGTGTGATCACAGACCTCTATTACCAAGACAGCTGCTGACAGTTTTACATACCAGATAAAGTACCGTATTTTTCGCACCATAGGACGCACTTTTTCTCTCCTAAAAAGCAAGGGAAAATGTGTGTGCGTCCTATGGAGCGAATGCAGGGGGGAGGCAGTCGGGAAAAGCCCCCAAGAGCTGCACACAAGCTCCGTGCGCTCTTGCGGGCTTTTCCCCAGGAGGGAGAAGGGACTGACGGGCCGCATCAGTTGCTTCTCCCACCTCCCAGAAAAGCCAGGAGAAGCCGCGATCTCTTTAAACGGGTTGTGCGGCATCTGCGGGCTTTTGCGAGAGGTGAGGGAATCCCCCCACCTCCCAGGAAAGCCAGAAGAAGCCGTGCAGCCCTTTTAAAGTGTGCGCGGCTTCTGCCGGTTTTGCGAAAGGTGAGGGAATCCCCCCACCTCCCAGAAAAGCCAGGAAAGCCCTGTGCAGCGTCTCCCGGCAAGGAGAGGCTGCATGGGGCTATGGATTCTTTAGCCCCACGCAGCCTCTCCCAGGAGGGAGAGGATGCACAGGGCTAAAGGGGAAGCCAAAACAGCGAGCGGGATCCATCCCGCCCCCTGCCTTGGCTTGCCAGTGTGGTGTAGTGGTTAAGAGCGGTAGTCTCCTAATCTGGGGAACCGGGTTCGCGTCTCCGCTCCTCCACATGCAGCTGCTGGGTGACCTTGGGCCAGTCACACTTCTTTGAAGTCTCTCAGCCCCACTCACCTCACAGAGTGTTTGTTGTGGGGGTGGAAGGGAAAGGAGAATGTTAGCCGCTTTGAGACTCCTTTAAAAAAGGGAGTGAAAGGCGGGATATCAAATCCAAACTCTTCTTGCTCCATAGCTGCGCGCAACCCCTCCGGCAAGGAGAGGCTGCACGGGGCTATGGCTTCTTTAGCCCTGTGCAGCGTCTCCTGGTAAGGAGGCAGCACGGGGCTAAAGGGGAAGCCAAAACAGCTAGTGGGATCCATCCTGCTCGCTGCCTTGGCTTGGCTTGTGCCGGCAGGGAGAGGTTGTGCGCAGCCTGTACGCTGCTCTTTGGGGCTGGGGGGGGGAAATATTTTTTTTCTTGATTTCCCCCCCTAAAAACTGGGTGCGCCCTATGGTCCGGTGCGCCCTATGGTGCGAAAAATACGGTACATATTTTCCCATTATTGTAACAGATAGGATTTTGTACATGCATGGTAGTGAATTTCCAGAGAAAACCAAAGAACTCCACAAATATGATAATATTGTGAATGCTCACTTTTTTATTTCTGTTAGGCATTGTTCTCGCTCTTTAGTTTTAAATTGTTAAATTAGGTTTGGTTATGTGTATTTTTTTCTACCCTGTTGTTTGGATTGTTTTGCATTTATTTATTGATATTATGATTATTTCTAACTATCCCTTTATGTATTTTGAAATTGTTAATACTTATTGCTCTGTTGATATGATATGAGCCACTTTGGACTCAATTTTGTGGAAAAGTGGTACACAAATAAAAAAAAAATACATAAGCCATGAAACACAACAGTATAGCGATCAGCTATAATAGTGAAGCAAAATGCATACAACTGAAAAGAATTTGAATACGGCTAACCAAGCAACTCAACAAATCTCTCCTTCTTTGTTGTTAACATTACTATTCATTCATTCATTCATTCATTCATTCAGGGCAAGCCCTACCAAGGGATGGCAAAGCAGCTGGAGAAGAGGACAGAGAGTGAAGAAAAAGCTGTGAGTGACAGGGGGCTCTTCCCAGTTGGTGGGCTGTACTATGTGTGTGGGCTGGAGGTTCCTACTCCTGTGGTAAAGCTACATTAATTAACTTAGCTAGAACCCAGGATATAGTGCTCCAGTATCTCTGAAGACATAATACCGTACAAACTAAAATGCAAACTACTGAATGCAAACTAAAAGTTATGTACAACATACAATATACTTATTAATCATATTTCTATGGTCCCCATTTCTCTAGAGAGCTCAGGAACATGAATCATCTCACTTTATCTATTTCTACAATATTCATCAACGTATCAATGGCAGGACAAGATGTCAAATCATTTTTCATTGTAGGGATCCATCCCTTACCCTTCTTCCTGCTTCAGTTATGCATCTATCAGCTAGAAAGCAGCCTTTCTATGCAAATATTCATCTAGGATAACTGTATGGTTATGCTCCAGAATATGTACTTCTGCCACCTGCAGGTTAAAATTAATGTGGCTGGTGAGAAATATTTCACAGGCAACAATACAGAAAGGTTAGAGGCAAGATGAGTTAACATGAACGTTTAGATTACCACTTCTGGAGTGGTGTGCTTTGCTCCCAATTGTAAAAGTAACTGCCCTTTTGAAGGAGTGTAGCAATTTGGCTAACAGCGGATTTCAAAGAGTCTTCCAGTTCAACTATGTGGCTTCTTGCACCGTCAAAGCGATATTCAGAACAGGAAGCAATAACTGCTACTACCATTAGTGTTGCACATGTCATGTCCTACTCGTCTTCCAAGAAACTCCACAACAACTTACATATGGCTCTCCAACCTAGGCACAGTTCAAGGGCAGACTCCATTACCACCACCACCATCGCCACCACCATGCCTTCAGACATTCTCTGGGCCAGTGTCATAAGAGAGTATTGACACTGCAAGCCCACCTATAGGAGCAGACTGGGTCAATGCTACTAAGCTGCAAACATTCAACTGGGTCAATGCTACTAAGCTGCAAATATTCCCCATCAGTAGATAAGGCAGAGCTTTTAGGCAGTACAGAAAAGTCACAGAAGAAGTAATGTAGGGTCAGGTATGATGCTGCCTAACAACCTCCTCCAGTGTCAGAGCTCGTGTGACATATTGGCTCAGGGTGTAAAGCCCTCAGTTCAGTTTTTACATAAGCCGTGAGTTCATTAAAGCCCTCTTTAAGCATTACTCACACAAAGGGATAGCACACATCAAAGGCACTGCAGCGTTGCACACTTAGCCCTGGCCTGATGGTGGTGTTACTTCTTCTATTACTGTAGGTTTCCCCTGTGATTGAGAATCCTGACCTTCCAGTACTTTAAATTGTGCAGGGAGTCTACAAAGATATTTATTTTGTAATTTGAGCTGTTGTGTATTAAAATTGCTATGTATCTCGTTTTGGAATTGTTTGTAACTATGAAGGACTGGTAACAAATAGTTAGATAAACAAACAGAAAGAAACTCACTGCTTTAGAAGTAATCCCATAATGCACAAGCTTTGGGCGGGCCTAAAATGTGTGGTCCCACAACCTCTTCATGCAAGAAACACATGATGAGGGCTGAAGACTACAGTCCTGTGCAGACCTACCTGGGAGTAAGCACCAGCTACCATAGCTGGACTTACTTCTAAGAAACCATCTACCCCTTGTCTTCTGTCTAAGGGAGTCCTTCTGAAATGAAGAACAGGAATATCCTAGATAATAAACTACAATACAGGGATTTTAAGGGTCCTCTTTGACAGAAGTTTATTCAGACAGAGTTCATGAATGCGGCCATATTTATAATTAGAACCAATATCTGAACCATTTCTTTGTTTTCAACATATCACCTGGAATTGACAGACTTTTCTAAGATTCTGTAACTTTAACAATGTGTTAAAAGTTCCCATTTTTTCTGTCTTTTAAAAAATAATTCATGAATGTTTCATTTTGCAAGAACACCTGAGTGAATGCCAAATAAGAGCTGCCTGAGAGTGGAATGGATGCTCTTGGGAGATTGTGGAGGTTTTTAAAGCAGTGGTTGTGTGGCCATCTGCCATGGATGCTGTGGTTGAGATTCCTGCACTGCAGGGGGTTAGACTAGATGACCGTCAGCGTCCCTTCCAATTACCCGATTCTAGAAGTGTATATTGTGGCATCTTCTCAGACTGCTGATTTTTATCCCTAAAACTAAGGTACTAAGAGGAACAGCTTCAGAGACATTGCTGAAGAGACTGTTACACATCAAGGACAAAATTTTTCCAGCTGTTCCTCCTTCTCCAAAACCTAACCCCTTTAAAATATTTTAGACTACAAACCCCATCATCTCTGGCTACTGACCATGCTGAGTAGGACTGGTGGGTAGTTTATAGTGAACAATATACAGTGGTACCTCGGGGTAAGTACTTAATTCGTTCCGGAGGTCCGTACTTAACCTGAAACTGTTCTTAACCTGAAGCACCACTTTAGCTAATGGGGCCTCCTGCTGCTGCTGCGGCACCGGAGCAAGATTTCTGTTCTTATCCTGAAGCAAAGTTCTTAACCTGAAGCACTATTTCTGGGTTAGCGGAGTCTGTAACCTGAAGTGTATGTAACCTGAAGCTTATGTAACCCGAGGTACCACTGTATTGGCTACCTGCACTGTATTGGAGTTACTCCTACCCCCTTTTCACATTTTTGGAGGGCTGGGGTTTTTTTTGCTTTTAGGCACAAAAAAGATGTCTGTTTGGTTTTTGTTTTTACTTTTAAATCTCTTTTTAAGCGAGTGACACATGAAACCCCACTCAATCATACCGTTTGAATTTAGGATTTGAAAACCGGATCGGGGACCCTTTTCGCCCCGAAGGCAGCATAGAAACGAACTGTGACATAACAGAAGCAGCTGCAGGTACATCGAAAAGACAGACCTACGTGAAAGGCCGCTAGGCATGCCGGGGATACATCCTAAACTCCATCCCAGAGCAAGGGCACCTGCGACCCTCCGACCACCCAAACAAGCACCACCTTCTCCCACCAGCGCCCCCCAAATTAATGACCCCGCGACCTGATCCCACAGGCAGCCAAATAACCCCGACCCTTTAGAGGCAGGTGACCAATGCGGGGCTTCTGTCTGTAATGAAACCCAACACTCACCCAGCCGCTCCCGGGTGAGGTGCAGGAACCTCCAGGCAGCCGCGGGAGGCCGGCAAGCGGGAGCCCCCAGCGCGACATTCCTGCCGAGAAGCAGCTTCGCGGCTCCCCGGCCGCTGCAGCTCAGCCGCAAGGAGGCGGCCATCTTGCCCTCTTCTCACCGCCCCCTCCCTTCGTCTACCGGGCTGTCCTCGCCGCTGCCTGAAAAGAAATACTCCCACGACGGCGCGGTGCCCTTTACGCGCCTGAACAAAAATGCGCGCGAGAGGAATTCCTCCTCCTCCTCCGGAGTCGAGGCTCCCCGGACAGCGCAAGCGAGTGGATGCACCAGGGTTCTCTCTCTCTTTCTGAAGAAAGTTTGCCGCCCCTTAGGAGAGGTTCCCATTTAGCAGCCGGAAAGCAGGCAGGCGAATAAAAAAGCGACGCTTTCTGGTGATCGCGTTTCCGCGCTAGGTCGATTTTTCTTTTCATTTTTCCAGGCATTGAAATAAATGTGGCAAGCAGCCGTAGTCTAAATGCAAAAGCACGTTTCGAAGTCGGCCGGTTGGAAATCAGCAAATGGTCTCCCTGGTTCACCCCCATCTGACACCCGGGGCAGCCCACTCACTCCTGCTCAGCCTCTCGCCCAAAGAGGCTTCACCTCTGTGCCCATCAGATATTTATTACTTATATAGTGCCATCTTACAAAGAACAGGTGACGTAATCAGTCCCTATGCCCAGGCAATAAAATAGACCCGGGGAGACAAAGGAAACGGAGACACGAGTTGTCCGTTCAGTCACTCTGACCCAACAACCTTAACATATATTAGAGATGGGAACTAAGGCAGGAGAAAGGATGCAGCAAACGCATAGGAGATGGTGGGCGCCGTACAGCATTGTGTATCTTGTTTAAATAAATAAACTGAACCCAAAGCAGATTCAGAATTATTTCTTATCCGGACGGGTGGCTATTAGAGGGTAGTGATGGATTGGTACTTGTGCCTGCAAAAGGAGGGATAGCCAAAGCGGGAGCCTTCGGGCGCTGATGGACTCCCATCGTGCAAGACCATTGGCAGCGCTGGCTGGGGATGCTGAGAGTTGGAGTCTAAAAACTCCTGCTCCCCGGTTCCCCGTCCCTTCTGTGGACTTAAAATATTCACCAGCTGCTCCCCAGTCATATCTAGCCTCGTGGGCGAATTCATAACAAAAATGTAAAAAAAAAAAAAAAGGCATTATCACTCCCTACTAAGCGGCCAATTGCGCACGGAGACACGCATCCCCGCCTGCTAAATAGCCACATTTGGAGCCTAATGGCTGCGACCCTTTTCTTGGGAGTAAGCTCCGTTGAACTTGGTCGGTTTCACGTTTGAGTAAATGCACGCATTCCACTGAATGCATCGCGTTTTTGTTGTTGTGGCTCGTCGGGGTTGAGGTGATAGGGTTGCAGGACTTAAGGACTCACTGCCGCCGGCCTGGAGGGCAGCCGCCCCCTTTTGCCGGCGGCTCAGCCAAGCTCCTCCCTGCGCGGGGCCTTTTCTCATCCTCGCGTGCAGCGAGATGGCTGAAAAGCAGCAGCAGCAGCGAGGCGATTGTGGCTGTCCTTGCAGGAAGGGCCTGGAGAAAGCCGAGGTAAAGAGCAGAGCCGAGCAGCTCCAGCCTCTCTCTCTTTCCCTCTCCCCTCACGCAGAAGACAGGGGCCTCCTGGTGGGAGGGGAGGGACCAGGTTCAGTCGCCGAGGGTCCCCGGTGTAGCAGGGAAGATCGCCCGCCGGAGCAAGGCTAAGCTGCTCACTTTCCTAGGGGAACTTCTCTTTGTAAAACGAGAAGACACTGTTTTGGAGAAAACCTAAAATTCAGCAGATGAAAAGTTTTCATTTACAGGCTGGGAAGCATGATGCAAAGATTGCTGTTATTATTAATAATACTGTGCATATCGACAGAAGCCATATCAGCAAGGAAAGGAGAAAATGGAGAGGGAGGCTTCATCACGTCTGTTGAAAGAGTCAGGGGCAGAAATCAGGAGTAGCTGATAACCAGCAAATGCAAGGAACTGTAGGATGCAACTGTGCCTTCAGTTTTTACCAGTGATGGGAATCAGACTGGGTTTTTTAAATGTATGCCAGCACTGATAAAGCACCACCAATACCCCTTTCACCTAGAGCAGCACTGATAAAGCACCACCAATACCCCTTTCACCTAGAGCAGCAGTCTCCTACTTTTTCAGACTTAGACACAGCTTTCATCCAAACATGTATTTGAAGACCTCCCCCATCCTCTCACATTTCCTATATATTTGTATAGTAGTAATGCTGCTGTTGGACCTGCACCCACCTTTGATCAGGCTGTGACTTGGTAGTGGGTCCCAGCCACCAGATGAAGACCAATAACCCAGAACAGACATAGGCAAACTCGGCCCGCCAGATGTTTTGGGACTACAACTCCCATAATCTCTGACCACTGGTCCTGTTAGCTAGGGATGATGGGAGTTGTAGTCCCAAAACATCTAGCGGGCCGAGTTTGCCTATGCCTGACCCAGAGGAATAGAGCATGAAAACAATAATTCCTTAGTTCTGCATCCTGGATTCTGTGCAAAATGAGAATACTGGCACAGGCAGGACAGGGAGCTTCTTCCCAATCTTGAGTCCCTACGGGGTAAATAAAAGTGACATTGCCACCTTCTGGAGTCAACTCTTATCCAGGATCTAATTTCTTCTTGGCTATGAAGCTTACTATGTGGCCTGTAGCAAGTCACTAATCTTGCTCTGTTGGGGAGTACTTCTTAAAACACTGCTTAATTATTGAAGTTATTTTAAGATCTTGTTTTCCATATGCGCCTGTATAACGCATTTTAAAATTGGGTGGAGATTACTTGGCAAATGTGCCCACATCAAAGATTAACACAATACCTATATTAATATCTATTTTTGAAGTGCCTACTAATCAGCATACAGTTGCTGTTTACATTGCTTCTTATTCTGGGGCGGAGTGGCTTTTGGATTACAACATTTGGGTAGCCACTGGAAACTAGGCTTAAATTCAGTTAACTTAATAAGTATATTTACACACACGTATCTAGCTGTATTACAAATTGTAAGTGTACAGCTTTATGAGCTTTAATGCTTTTGTCAATACTTACTAATTTTCTTGTTCATTTTTAATTTGAATAGCGTTCTGAGTACTATTTGAGAGAGTTGAGCTGAGAGTTGAGACCCTACCTGCCCACAGACTGTCTCGCCAGAGTGCTGCATGCTCTAGTTATCTCTCGCTTGGATTACTGCAATGCGCTCTATGTGGGGCTACCTTTGAAGGTGACCTGGAAACTACAACTAATCCAGAATGTGGCAGCTAGACTAGTGACTGGGAGCGGCCGCTGAGACCACACCGGTCTTGAAAGACCTACACTGGCCCCCAGTACGTTTCTGAGCACAATTCAAAGTGTTGGTGCTGACCTTTAAAGCCCTAAATGGCCTCGGTCCAGTATACCTGAAGGAGCGTTTCCACCTCCATCGTTCTGCCCGGACACTGAGGTCCAGTGCCGAGGGCCTTCTGGCAGTTCCCTCGCTACGAGAAGCCACGTTACAGAGAGCCAGGCAGAGGGTCTTCTCAGTAGTGGCACCCACCCTGTGGAACACCCTCCCATCAGATGTCAAATAGAAAAATAACTACCAAACTTTTAGAAGACATCTGAAGGCAGCCCTGTACCCACCCAAATGGCTGCAGATGGAGCTTTTGGAGCTCTTCACAATCTCTTTTAATGGTCCTGAACAGTTTAGTCTCATCAGCAAACCTGGCAATCTCACTGCTCACTCCTAATTCTAAAATGTTTATGAACAAGTTAAGAAGCACAGGTCCCAATATCAATCCTTGGGAGACTCCACTATATCTCAACATTTATTCCTATTCTCTGAGTCCTGCTACCTTATGGGTAGCCCCCAAGCTGATAGCATTAGTGCCCACCCCAACTTTTATACTTAGACCTCAAAGGCCAGAAAGTCTCATTCGTTCTTCTGTTTAAGGCTGCCTGCTGCCCATTTTGCAAATATTGACAGGAAGTGGGTAGCCTACTTACTGCTCCACTTCCTTTGGTCTCCAGTTCCAAATCAGCAGTGGGCTATCCAGGCTGTTACTGTCTATACCCTATCCTCAGAAGAGAGAATAGATGGTTAAAGAGCAAGCCAGCGAGTATCCAGGCAAGCAGGGGAGCAGTGGCAGTGGGGAGACACTGTGGTTTCAGCAGAGGGGAAACATAACTGTAGGGTGCCAGGAATCACCAGGACCCTTCAAACATGATAATTCCACTGTCAATTCCCCTGGGAAACTAGCTGTTTAATTAATCTAGTTTTAAAGGATTACTGCAAATCATGTTGTGGGGGAGAGTTGTCTGACACTACTTCTTACATATGTATCATTTTGTGCACTTAAATTACTAAGGTTATCAGCACAGCTGCCTCATCTATTGTTGCTTCCTCAGTTTATTAATGCTTCTAATTCTTGTAATAAAGGAACTGAAATGAGAAGAGCTCAAATTCTATTTTGGAATTTTGAAGATTGCCGAAGCTCTGACTATATTAGTTTATAAGTTCTTCTCTATAATTAAGATGTAATTCATCTCCTTCCAAAAATAAAACAACAAAATTATATATCATGTGAATTATTTTGATACATTTTGTACAAAACTGACTAATTAAAGGTTTTATGGTTGCTATTTTTAGAAAAGGAATATGACCGTTCTTCACACCATTATATTAAATGGAAATTTGCTCGTTTGGGAATCGTGGTAGAAATGAAATGGGGCGGGTGTCTGATGGACAAAGAAAATTACTTGCCAACTTTTAAGCTAACACATTCCATAATATTTGTTGGTTCAAGGACTGCTTCAGATCGTGCAGTGTTCACTTCCATAGGTGATTTTTCTCATGTTTAAAGCACTGAGCTACACTCCTTCCATATGAGAGCATACAGTGGTACCTCGCAAGATGAATGCCTCGCAAGACGGAAAACTCGCAAAACGAAAGGGTTTTTGGTTTTTTGAGTTGCTTCGCAAGACGATTTTCCCTATGGGCTTGCTTCGCAAGACGGAAACATCTTGCAAGTTTGTTTCCTTTTTCTTAAAACCGTTAATACAGTTGCGACTTGACTTCGAGGAGCAACTCATAGCACGCGGTGTGGTAGCCTTTCTTGAGGTTTTTGAAGACTTTGGTGATTTTTGAAGCTTTTCCGAAACTTTTCCGACACCGTGCTTCGCAAGACGAAAAAAACCACAAGACGAAAAAACTCGTGGAACGAATTAATTTCGTCTTGCGAGGCACCACTGTATTTTCAGAAACGTGGCATTCAGCTGGTTTATGCCAGTCAGTATTGAACTCACTTCCCTATTATTAAGTTGGAAATCAAAGACCCATCTAGTCCAGCATCCTGTTCTTGCAGTGGCCAAATACCTATGGAAAGTCCGTAAACAGAAACTGAGTGCAACAGGGCTCTTTCCAATGGTTTCCTCCAGCAACTGGTATGCAGAGGCATACTGTCTCCAAGTTAAGACAGAACATTGCCATCATTGCTAGTAGTCTTTAATAGCCATACAGTGGTACCTCGGGTTACAGATGCTTCAGGTTACGTGATTTCGGGTTGCACACCGTGCCAAACCTGGAAGTACCGGAACGGGTTGCGAACGTGCCTCCCGCACGGATCACATTCGCAACCCGAGGTTCCACTGTACTGTTGATGTTATTCTTTTTTTAAAACCACCCAAGTTAGTAGCCATCAATACCTCTTGTAGTAGCAAATGTGTAATAAGGAATTCCTTTTGTCTGTCCTGAATCTTCCACCATTCAACTTAATTGGATGGCTCTGGGTTCTAGTTTTATGAGAAATGGAGGATTTCCAGGGGATGAACATGGCAGACTGAACGTCTTCTGTTGGCAAGTTGCCGACCGAGATAATTACATGGTGACTGATGATAGCCAGGACATAAATCTTGGCTATCAAAATTCACTCTGGAGATAAGAGTGAACAGGTTAATAACTTCTGATGCTCTGAAAAAGCCTTTTTCTACACCGGGAGACCAAGAAGCTGTCAGTACAGTGCTGCCCCGCAAGACGAATGCCTCGCAAGACGGAAAACCCGCTAGACGAAATGGTTTTCCGTTTTTGAGTTGCTTCGCAGGACGAATTTCCCTATGGGCTTGCTTCGCAAGACGAAAATGTCTTGCGAGTCTTGAGATTTTTTTTTCGCTTCCCCCCCCCTTTATCAAAGCCGCTAAGCCTTTAATAGCCTTTTAGCAGCTAATCCGCTAAGCCGATAAGCCTTTAATAGCCGCTAAACCGCTAATAGCGCTAATCCGTTAAGCCGCTAATAGGGTTGCTTCGCAAGACGAAAAAACCGCTAGACGAAGACACTCGCGGAACGGATTAATTTCGTCTTGCGAGGCACCACTGTACCTGGGAATCTGGGTGGGGGTGAGCAACTTAGAATGGAGGAATCAACATGTTGTCCAAAAGCCACTCAGGAGCCCTGGAGGCTATAGGGGCTGCAAGTCTGCCTTTTTTCTAAATATCTCTGTGACTGTTAAAATTTACAAATGAGAAAGATGTTTCTGTCTGCTGGTTGAAATTTACATTTGGTGTTTGAGCTACTTTATGGCTTTAAGAAGAGTTGATCATTAAAGGGCTGAAAGCAAGCGGGGGGGGGGAGTTCTAACTGTTTGAACCAAGAAAGTTTTATGATAAAGTGAGTTCTGAGTGCTAAGAATTTTTAACTCTCCATTTTCCCCGTGAAAGTGTTGCCTTGAAATCAAAAGTAATTTTGTTACTTCATATTTGCTTTGTGGGAAAGGAATGTGTTCTGATATGAGATAACACTGTGAAGATCTTAAAGTGGAGACGGGAGATTGAAGATCTTAAGATTGAGACTGAATTGTTAACAGGAACATTCAGTATGGTAAATACTCTGTTGGACATTCCATTGACTGTTGGCATCCTTTAGCAATTGTTTGATGAGCAGTTAAAAGAGATCAGAGCTAGGATTGATGATGAAAGTGGACCAGAGAAGGATGAAATGGGAAGTGGAATTAAAGAGCACACAGTGATTTTGGAGAACAATATGAATATAGGATTGCCAGAACAGGAAGGTGAAATGGTTGAGTTGGAGGCAACAGATGGTAAAATGGAGAATACCTTCACACAGGTGTGTGAATGAAGGCAGTTGTGGATGCACAGTGGGGAGGGGGACTAAAACTGCTATTCACACAGTCAGTCTGGCTCATGACTGCGTGGACCTGCCTTCACTAACAACCTAGTGCATATTTTGGAATACAGTCATGTTGTTGTTTAGTCGTGTCCGACTCTTCATGACCCCATGGAACAGGGCACACCAGGCACTCCTGTCTTCCACTGCCTCCCGCAGTTTGGTCAAACTCATGCTGGTAGCTTCGAGAACACTATCCAACCATCTCGTCCTCTGTGGTCCCCTTCTCCTTGTGCCCGCCATCTTTCCCAACATCAGGGTCTTTTCCAGGGAGTCTTCTCTTCTCATGAGGTGGCCAAAGTATTGGAGTCTCAGCTTCACTATCTGTCCTTCCAGTGAGCACTCAGGGCTGATTTCCTTCAGAATGGATAGGTTTGATCTTCTTGCAGTCCATGGGACTCTCAAGAGTCTCCTCCAGCACCATAATTCGAAAGCATCAATTCTTCGGCGATCAGCCTTCATACCTCGAGTTAAAGACGCTTCAGGCTGAGCGTTTTTAGGCTGCATTCTGCGGCAACCCGGAAGTAATGGAATGGGTTACTTCCGGGTTTCGCCACATGCTCAGATACTCAAAATGATGTCACGCGCATGCACAGAAGCAGCGAGACGTGCAGACACGGGTTGCGTTCTGCTCAGGATGCGAACGGGGCTCTGGAACGGATCCCGTTTGCATCCAGAGGTACCACTGTACATGCCAGATTTATCTGTATTTTAAAAACAACAATTTCAAGTTCATGTCGGATAAATGATTCACTTCATTTGAAATGTTAGAGAAAAGTAGCAATCTCCCCCACCCTGCCATCAATATACTTCAGTCATGTTGGCTTAACAGTAATTCTGTAAATCCTTGGTGAATCCTTTTGCAAATGTTTGTCATTACGCTGATACATACCATAAGTTGAAGCTCGTACTAGAAGGTGTTCTACTGAGATGAAGCTTACACCCAGCTTATGCAAATGTATATCATTTTTCTTTGCAGCAAATAGTGTGTATAATAGCTAGACTAGCATATAATAATAATATGAAAGGTTTCAAAGGACTTTGATTTCATAGCAGATTTGGGATTAGTAATGATTTGCAGCATTAACTGGTGTAAACCTGCATGGCTGCATTGCATTCAGGACAGATACTCCAGTTTACATCAACTGTGAAGGTGCCCTGGAGTGTTTGCTTGGCATCTGCTAAAATGTGGTAAATGAAGAATGACAAATTGCAGTTGTTAATAGTAATTTCATGAAACTCCATTTGAAAGTTATCTTTCAATGTCTGTTACTGATGACCGTTTATCAAGCTGAACGAGTTGCAGAAATCTAATTTATTTTTCCCTTCAATTTAAATGTAAATATTTAGGGAATCTTGTAGTTGCTCATCCTTTAAGAAAATATATAGAGTCTCAGTTTGAGTGAAATATTTAAAAAAGAAGCACAGTCGACTGTGCAACTTCGGAAGCTGTATTAGAAGCAGATGTTTTAAAGCTGTACATAAAAGTCAATGGACACTACTGTGATAGCCTTGTGCACAATATATCACAGGTACAGGAAACATGAAGGTTTTTACTTGAAACCACTGCAGAGATGGGTATTGAACCCACGGGTACCCATAATATCTAAAGGTGTCAAGCAATGCTGTGCAAGGGAACCAGAAGGAACACTGGTCTTCACCATATGCACATGAGCAAATGCTTTTTGTGCAGCACTTTCCACTGCTGGGCAGATTCTGCATTGGACTGGACCTGAAAAGTCTGTTGGTCAACCATAGCCAAGTGTCTAAAAGCATGTACCCCACCCTCCATAGCTGCAAACGGTGAAAATTGTGCTATTTAGAAAAAGCAACTGGGGTCAGGTCCCTCCTAGAATCATGGGACAGGACTATCCCAGGTCAAACAGGTCCCCATTCTGCACAGAAATCACAATGGATTCCTGGATGCTTGTGCCACGATGCTTATGGCTTATGTGTGGCCTGATTCATTCATAGTCCTAGTGCACAGTTTATATGGATAGTATGGAAGGGTAGGTGACGCTTCTGCAGAAAGTAAAATGATATACGGTAAGCCAGTAACCTACGTGCACGGCAGTTAAACAAAATGGAAAGGGGGCAAAGTTCTGGAAAAAATGACTTTGGCATTCTCACCACCATTGAACCCAGTATGTTATGACTATACACAATTTTGGCTTTAGGCATGATCCCCCACGTACGTTGCAGGCTTACTTGGTTGCAGAGATGGCTCATCTGTGGTCCTGCAGAAATTGCTAAACTCCCAAGTGCTATCTTCCTTGACTATTGACCATGCTGCCTTGGGCTGATGGGAATTGTAGTTCAACATCTGGAGGTCGCCATGTTGTCTACCACTGACCAAAAGGATAGAGCCCATGTGTGGGAACCTTTTATCCTCTTGATGCTGCTGAACTACAACTCCCATCATCCGTGGGATGCTCGCTGGAGCTGATGGGAGTTCTAGCTTAGCAAAATCTTAAATGTGAGATAGATAATTTAGTCACCCATGCTATATGGACTTTATATAACAGCTGCCACCCACTTAAACAAATCTCAGTGAATTTATTGTGCGCGTTTTGAGTCATCAAATTTGCATATACACAAACCATAATGCTGAAGAAAAAGCATACTCTTTGTTTTTAGAGATTCGTGTGTTACAGCAGGAAGAAGCAATCCCCCTTGACTGAGAGAGAAGAGCAGAAATCTGTTCAAAATAGCAATATTTCTAAGTATTTCTATTTAAAACAACTTCAAAGGGGGCGGTTGCTGATCAGATGGAATCACATTTTAATCAGTGAATCAGATAAATATTGCAGCTTTCATTTAAAAAGCAAATAAACCATTTTAAAATGTGCCTTTTCTTTTTGTTTCTTCCGTAGGAGAATGTGCATCCAAGGAATTTGATCCCAGAGCTCTGCCGCCAGTTTTATCACTTAGGATGGGTTACAGGGACTGGTGGTGGAATCAGCATGAAGCACGGGTGAGTGTTTAGTGGTTGTTGTTTTAAACTAATACCCACTTAGGCACAGATCAGCATAAGTGGAGGGAAAGTGAAAGATAAAACATGATAGATGTTGAAAAGAAGTAGACAATTGGAACTTCATTAGAGTGGCCTTATACCATTGTCAAAGAAGGCTACTTACGTGCAATACAGCGGCTTAAGAACTTTATGGGCCCCGGATAAGAAAGCTGTCATTCTTGTATATCTTAAGCAAGTAAGTCCTCAGACTCTCTGAGCAGAATATAAATAATTTCCTCCAGCTGACAGCAGAACATAAAGTGAATGATTTTGTGCAGGTGCAGTACTCTAAATAGATTTTCTAAAGAAACATGTACATGAAATGTTTGGCTTATTTCCGAGTTGCTCTGGATATTTGCATTTGTGGATACCTAGCTCCACTTAGTGGTGGGAAAAGGAAAAACTTGCAATCTGTTGGCATAAAGATATACAGTATGTGTGTCTGGATAAAGACATATTAGTTACACTGTGAAGGGTTTTGCCACAAGAGCTGCCAATTTCTAGCCTTGGAGTCACATGTGGATTCAAGCAGGTGGATCTTGAGCTGTTCCAAAAAAGAGTTTTCCAATGATAATTGCCATTTCCCTCTTTCTGTATAGCCAGTACAGTGGTATCTCGGGTTACATACGCTTCAGGTGACATACGCTTCAGGTTACAGACTCCGCTAACCCAGAAATAGTGCTTCAGGTTAAGAACTTTGCTTCAGGATGAGAACAGAAATCGTGCTCCAGCGGTGCAGCAGCAGCAGGAGGCCCCATTAGCTAAAGTGGTGCTTCAGGTTAAGAACAGTTTCAGGTTAAGTACAGACCTTTGGAACGAATTAAGTACTTAACCTGAGGTACCACTGGACTGGACAAGCAGTGCATGCTTGGAGAAGAAGGTGAATCTAGATGATAAATAAAAGTAGAAGTAGAAATGGCAACAGAAGTAAGACTCCAATACCCCTAAAGAGCAAGAGAGGTTTTAGAAAACAGGCTAGAATTGGACAGCAGGATGACTGAAGTCAGTGACTTGGGTTATAGAAAGAATTTTGGAGGGATAAATGGGAGAGCACCACTTGTATTCATCTCGGGGCTGGAGACAGAGGAAGCAGAAGGCCTGTTGTAGTGAAAACCATAAAGTAACGGCTCTCAAAACAAAAACACATGACGCAGAAATAAATCCCATTGATTTTTTTTAAACATAATAATATAGTATAACTTCTCCACTTAATAAAGGCTAAATTATTCTTAAGGCCGGGATAGCATTCGCATAAACACAGTGCAATGTCAGTTTCAAATGCTGACGTTTTAAAATTATCCTTACTTAATTTTATTGCAAATGTGTAAAAGCCTTAGGGAAGAGGTTGGCATGCAGGGCAATCCCAAGAGGGTCCAGGGAGGTGCAGAGTGGCATATCCTTTGCCTCACCTGAAACCCTGCTGGTTCCTGTCCACCATGGCAAAAGGTAGAGGAAGTGCTGTTTGTGTAGATGTGTTTGGTTTTTTTGCTTGCCATATGCACAGCTGTCCTGCCCAACTCCACACCCCATTTTGGGGCCATACTGTGGCCACAACGAAATTCCCCTCGTAGAGCCCAGCTGAGGGACACTGCCACCTAATCCGAACTCCCACCAGCACTTCTGATCAGGGGGTAACAATTGCAGCCTTAATCTTTCATCTAAACTGAAAATGGCTCCTGTGTCACAAAAGTTAATCTGTGACTTGAGGCTGCTGCCTTATATACTCACTGTATATATGCCTTATAAACTCACTGTATATATTTCAAAAAGCACTGTGTTTTCATTGCTGACAATTCTATGCAAGATACCATGTTGATTCTTAGTACAGTGGTACCTCGGGTTACAGACGCTTCAGGTTACAGACTTCACTAACCTAGAAATAGTACCTCGAGTTAAGAACTTTGCTTCGGGGTGAGAAATCGCACAGCGGCGGCAGCGGGAGGCCCCACTAGGTATAATAGTACCTCAGGTTAAGAACAGTTTCAGGACCTCCAGAACGAATTAAGTTCTTAACCCGAGGTACCACTGTACAGTAGCACCCCGTGTTACGTTACCCTTGGGAAACGTAAACTTCAGGTTGCGAAAGTGGCAAACCCGGGAGTGTTTCACCATGTGCGCATGCACAGAAGTGGTCTACCGCCGTGTGCATGCATATAACAGTGATCCTCAGGTTGCGAAAACCTCGGGATCCGGCCGGACCTCCGGAATGGATCCCATTCGCAACCGGAGGTACCACTGTATTCCTAACAGATATATAGTGTTCTTTTTAGTTTGACTGCAAATCCTTGCTAGTTGAGTGATCAAATGGAATCTTCTTCATAAATGTGCACCCACCCACCTCCCTTTAACATTCAATTAATAATGGTACCTACCGGTATGTCTTCAAATATCAGCTGTGCATAACCTGGCCAATTAACCACTAGGTGTCTCTGCTCTGCAGAATTCCAAGTAAGAGCTCCAGAGCTCCGTATTACTCCAATATTATTAAAGGCAACGGTTATTCGTGCAGACGTTGCCTCACTTTCTCTTTTGCCCACAAACAGATTTGTGCAATAGTTTTTAAAAACATCTATATTTATTTGAAATCATTTACAATCCCGCTCCTCCTCCCTAAATCGTGGCGTACGCTAAACACAGTAAAATATGAACAACTAGTAAGAAAGAACAAAGCATACAGCTTATGTTTCACCCTTTAGTCCTAAACCCCTTTATTTGTGTATCAAGTCCCCTTGGCTTCAGAAGGATTTTCTTCTACTTCGGCTTCCTTAGAATTGCAGCCTTGGTTAACTTGACAGTGTGGCATTCCTACGGCAGTATAGATGTTTATTCCCCTGCAAATCAAAAGGGATTTCTTTGTCTCATAGCGTGCCCTGCATAATCACAGCTATGAAGAGCTTTAAGGGCAACGGCAAGCAATAACACCTCTAAGCTATAATAATGTCGGGTGTTCTAGGGCTAGCTAAGCCTGTGGCAGTAGCTTAAGCACTGCTGTCAGATGCAGATCATGTTGTGATGGGAGGAATTGCTGTATGTTCTGTTGTTGGTAAATGAAGCCATATGCTTCATGCTACTTTGTGTCTACAGCTAAACCGATCTTGATTTCCCCCTCTAGCAATGAGATATATATTGCTCCCTCTGGTGTCCAAAAAGAAAGAATTCAGGTAGGTACAGCTAGCATTTCTACCTCTGATAATCTTCCTTGAAAACTAATCTGAAGATTTATCCCCTCCATGCTTGCTCAGAAGGAAGTCTGGCTGAGTTACACCCTGGTAAATATGTATAGGATTGCAGCCACAGACATATTTAAACACACATTTATTAGTAGGAAGAAAGTTCAAAAGCTTCATTTTCTAATTAGCTCTGGCCTAAACAGGCTAATTTTGGAACAGCCTTGAATGGTGGCATTAAGGTATCCTGGGCTAAAGAAAAAACTAAGGAGGCAGCCTGGATGAATGGGCCAGATAAATTGCAGTGTTCCTTGTCTGCAAGAGAGAGGTGATAGTTTGCTTGGATCTTCTCACTCTGGGGAGCCCTTTTGCCTGTATGGAAGGGTTGCAATTCCTATTGGACAGCCAAAATGAGTTTCTCTGTATTGGAGAGAAACTTATTGAAGCCACATAACCAAGACATGCATGCAGGGTGGATAAAAAGCAATGATTTTAAAATATAAAAAAAATAAAAATTGGTTTTTTAATTTAAATCAGATTTTTAAAATTTAAATCAGAGTTTTTAAAATTTAAATTAGATTTTTAAAATAAAATGCTTTTGGAGGAAAAATCTTTCTAAAGATAGTTTTCTATTTAAGTTACATTATGGTCCAAAGGCTATTCATCAACAAATAAGGATTTGTTTTAAGTTTTTCATGTGTGCTAAAACTTAGTCTAAGTTTTTTTATTAAAAAAAAATGTTTAACCACATCAGTTAACAAACATGGATACATCTGCTATAATGTTATTGTTTTAGTTAAATAAATTGCTTAAATTGTTATTAAGGAAATGAATATTTTTCTCCTTCCAATAAAATACAGGAGAAAAGTTGTCCAAATATAAACAGTTAATTTATTAAACCTCACAATAATTTCATAATTATCTGTTTATCTATTTCTACTAGTATAACCAAATCAGTAATTTTTGATATAACTGTAAAATGTACTCTGAAAATTTACTATCCCAAATATGAAACCTTTCTCTAGATGTAAATATTAAGATTATACCAGTGAGAATGAGCCTTTCTGTAAAAAAAGAAGAAGATTTAAATCAAGTCTTACTGACTAGTGATTTAAATTGTGATCCACCCTACATTCATGTATGTCCATTTATTTATCATCTTTTCCTTTCCATTTATTGGTCCTTTGTTCCTGCCGCCTCACCCCTCAGACACTCGGGAGTGGTAAAGGGAGATGGTTTATTTTCTTTTGTGCAGCCAAGTTTATTTCACAAATGGCATTGGAGGGTTCTACTTGCCATTAATGCCATTGCTGCTGTGAGCTACTGTTAGGAACAAGAGTGGGCTGCCTGCCTTACCCTTTGGCTTCATATTGGGTTAGAAGAGCCTAACAATAGCAGGACTGATTAGGAGCATTGCTTTTGTCCAGTGGCCAAGCAGGAATAGCCACTAAGAATAAATCAAGAAATTGGCTCTGTACAGCACTGTTTCTCTTGACCTTAGAGGCTGGTTGAAGGGGCTTCTCCTTCTACCACCCCGGAATGCTGGAGCAGTCTGCAAAGCTGGGAAGAAACAGTGCTTAATATGATGAAAATAGGTTTGTGCAATTGGGCCTGTATGTTGTATCACGATCGACTCAGGGACCACGCAAGGATTTGGGTTGATCGCGGCCACCTCAAGCACCCTGCTGGGCCGCCGTCTTTGCCTGATGCCCAGTCAGCTGGCTGGCCCGGAAAGGCACGAGACACCTGCCTCCACCCCCAACAAGCCTCCGCCCTGGGGAGGGAGGCAAAAATGGAGCACACGGGGCTCTGCACGGGCTGCAGCTGTGGAGGCACCCAGTCAGCTGGCTAGGCAGGAAAGGGAGCCGAGGGAAGGGCAGCGTGCGAGAGAGAGACCATGACATTTCTCCTCCCTTTCCCCCCCTCCCACCGGTTCCCATAGAAAGAAAACCCTCTCGTTCTGCATGGATGTGGAACTTTCCAGCTCCAGTCTAGCTGTGTTTACTCAAAAGTAAGCTGCTCTCCCTCCTAGTTCTGCATGGATGCTGAACTTTCCCTGCCTTTCCAGCTCCAGCCTACATGCATTTATTTGAAAGTAAGCCACTGCCCCCTTCCCTACAGAGCTCTTTCATCCGGTAAAGGGGGAACTGGACATTTCAGGGCGTGTTGGCTTCCCATGCGCACCAATGGCCTTGGGAGGGGGCTAGCATGGGGATAATAATTTGTTATTATTTTTATCATTATCATAATTTATTATTTATACCCCGCCTGTCTGGCTGGGTTTCCCCAGCTAAATATAATATGTTTAAGTTGAAGAATGACAATGGGAGAATGTGGTAGCTCACTGCCAATTTTTGATATTGGATGATGGATCACAACCTGTTGGATGTTGGACGTGCCTGTTGTATACCATAATGAAATATTGGATTATTATTTTTTAAATAATCTTTATTAATTTAAATTACACACATATACAAAGAATTTACAATCTCATACTACAAAAAGAAAATTAAAGAAAAAACAATTAAGAAAAAAGAAAAGAAGAAAATACAGAAAAAAAGAAAGAAGAAAAAGCAGTATAAAAAACTTAATCTTCCTAATTAATACTTAAATAAACACTTAAATAAAAAAGACTTCTGACAAAACGAGTCAGATGTCTGAACTCGAAAATTTTGATTTTAAAGGAAATCTTTGCGTCCTATTGGCACAGAAACTCAATCTGTGAATATTGTGTTGTGATTAGCAGAAAGCATGACCAATACAGTTTTTTTTTAAAAAAAAGTTACTAGATTGAATTCTCATAGGTGCCCCAAGAATGTATCGGTAAAATAAAACTTAAGTGCAATTCTATACTTATTGACTCAAAGGTTGGCCCCAGTGAGTTTAGGGGAGCTCCCTCCCAGGTAAATGGATGTAGGAGTGCAGATTAAATCATAGGCTGTTTCTGCTGCAACATTAGTGAAATAAATATTAAGGTATATTTTCAAATGAAGGCTGTAATCCTATACTCACCTGGGTGCAAGCCCATTGAATGCAATGGAATTCACTTCTGAACAAATGTGCATATAGGGTTGCTCTGCAAATATTTGACCAGGGCTCTGTGTCTTTTCTGCGATTGTTTGTACGTGTGCCAGAATCAAAAGATGGATTCCAGAGGTTCTCGGTCTCAGCTTTCATTTGTTTGTCTCTAATCCTTTGAAAGAGAGAGTTTCGAAAACCAACAAGCATGCTAAGATGGTGGTAATTACGAACAAAGTGCACTTCCTAGGGGAGTTTACTTCTTAAAGTCGAGCAACACAAAATGTTAAAAATAAAATAGAATCAGTGATATATAAGGGTGTGCATTTCTATAGATCTATATAGTACTGGTCATACAGTTTTCTTAATGTTATCATAAATTAGTTCACCAGAAAGGGAACAACTAAAAAATGATGTTCTCAGGAAAGGCAGCATCATACGCCTGACGTGGCACCAGCACCACTGCAGTTTGCTAAGAAGGGGAGAGGTGATGTGGCAAAGACAGAGAGGTGCTGTGCGGACACTCTGGTGGAAATGGTGCCTTGGTTCTGCTCATTCAGCTTCACAGAAGCATCTTCTCCACTGCCTGGCCCCGCTGCCCCCTAGTAGACGGCAGTGGCACTGGTCAGGCCAGGAGGACAGGTATGTGCTGCCATTCCTGCCCTACCGCCATTCTGTGTATGCACAGATATAACTTCCTTCTGTGGAGCAAGACTGGCTTCACAATGCATTCAAAGAATATACCGTATTGGCCTGAATATAAGCCACACCCGGAAATAAGCTGCACCTTTAAAATTTGGAAGGGGGGAGAAGAAAAAAAGACAATACCAGAGTATAAGCCGCTCCTTAAAATTCTGCAGGTGTTCACACCCGTAAATGGCATATCTAGAAGAAAATCCGAAAGGTACCAGAGAGGACCCGCAAGTGGGTTAAACACCTGTTCATAGCACCGTAAATGCAAATAAAAAATCAATACAGTACTGTCCTGTAAAATATGGGGGAAGCTATGAATGGCACTAGAATTAATTGCACAAGAGTCTCGCTTTTTTGTTGTTGTTGTTGTTCTGTTTTACCGTATGTCTGTTTCAGCAGCAATATCCTAAAAAGCAATTTTTGTAAGGTCATGAATTTAAGTCACACTTTGACTTTTCACGGTCGGAATTTGGAAAATAGTGTGGCATATTCAGGGCAATATGGTATTTATCAGCTAGTCAAATGCTGATCTCAGTCATCGGCCTTACCCCCCCAAGTTTGATCCTGGACAGGGAACTGGTCACTTCCACCATGCCTTAACAACTCACTGCACACTCACATTTCTGCACCCTCTCAGAATCTAATTATATTGAATGTATTTTATCAAGAACTAGTTTCTCCAGTGGGTTTTTCCTTTCTTGTTTTATTAAAATGCAAAACCAAGCATCAAACAAATCATAACAGAAAACAGTTATTAAATTCCGAAGCAGAGCCAAAAAAAAGTTGCAGTGGTTTTTCAGCTCACAATGCAGATCTTTCTCTGATCTTTGAACCCTTTATAATTTAGTTCGTTGAAATGTAGGTGTGCATAAATACTCAAACTGTGTCTCCAAATGCTTTCATTATAGCCTGAAGATATGTTTGTGTGTGACATTGAAGAACGGGACATCAGTGGTCCCCCACCACACAAGAAGCTAAAGAAGAGTCAATGCACGCCTCTCTTCATGAATGCTTACACCATGAGAGGTAGGCAGCAAGCAGCATTATTGAAAAGTCAGCACTTCGTAAACACGAGTGTATTCTGCTTATAAAATAGAGATTTCTTAATTGAAACTGCAGCAGAATTGGAACATGCCTTTACAGCAGTACAATGCAGTTCTTCCAGTAATTGCTATAACACCTAAAACATCTTTCTTTTACTGATTGGTTGATTTCATTTACAGTATATATATGCCTCCTTATAACAAAAAGCTCTCTTGATGGCTTTTTGAAAAGGAATGATTCACAGAAGCTTCATTTGGCAAATACAAATATGTACCCCAATCAAGTCTCTCTTTTTGGGTAACAATTACTACATTTTTAATATGGGCCTTCTGGCGGTTCCCTCCCTGCAAGAAGTGAGGTTACAGGGAACCAGGCAGAGGGCCTTCTCAGTAGTGGCACCCGCTCTGTGGAACGCCCTCCCATCAGATGTCAAGGAAATAAACAACTATCTGACTTTTAGAAGACATCTGAAGGCAGCCCTGTTTAGGGAAGTTTTTAATGTCTGATGTTTTATTGTGCTTTTAATTCTGTTGGGAGCCACCCAGAGTGGCTGGGGTATAAATTATTTATTATTATTATTATTATTATTATTATTATTATTATTATTATATGATAATTCAGCCTCTCTGTATGTGCACAGAATATGGCTGACTTACTAGTCTTCTGAGGGGGAAATCATAAGTGGCAGAATCAGAGGTGCCCAGTTGCCTCAGCTAGCAGTGGGACAATGAATGAGTACCTGGCCATTCCCCTTACTTTCAATGTTTGGCTGCTGCTCATGTGCTGGCAGCTTATCCTCCCCTCCTCTCTGACTCATTCTGAGGAAGACGGAGAGGCATCCTGGGAGAGGTGGCTACAGAGAATGCTTTTCCAGTGTTTTTTGGGGGGGTTAGTAGACATCCTCTCTTAAATAATTCCCAGCCACCCCAGAATTGTGGCAGCTCGGGCATTCTCCCAGGCCACCTGTCCTGCAGTGCCTTGAGAAAATACCCCTTCCCTTCTTCAGAAGGAGGCGTGTTGCTGCCATATTAGCAGTAAGGTAAAGGTACCCCTGCCCGTACGGGCCAGTCGTGTCCAACTCTAGGGTTGTGCGCCCATCTCACTTAAGAGGCCGGGGGCCAGAGCTGTCCAGAGACATTTCCGGGTCACGTGGCCAGCGTGACGAAGCTGCTCTGGCGAGCCAGCACCAGCGCAGCACACGGAAACGCCGTTTACCTTCCCGCTATAACACAGTACCTATTTATCTACTTGCACTTGATGTGCTTTCGAACTGCTACGTGGGCAGGAGCTGGGACCGAAAGACGGGAGCGCACCCCGCCACGGGGATTCGAACCGCCGACCATGCGATCGGCAAGTCCTAGGCACTGAGGTTTTACCCACAGCGCCACCCGCGTCCCATATTAGCAGTGGCAAGACATTAAAAGCAATGAGGAGGAGGAGGAGCACTTGGAAAGGAGTAGCAGAATGTTCAAAATCAGTGAACCTGTCTACCACTTAGGCTGGGGAAGGAGGAGACAAGGAAGCAGACAGGTTTTGGAGAAAAGTTTTATACTGTGTCTGTGGACAGGGGTCTGGGTGCTCTTGGTAGGAATGAATGCAGGGAGATGAAGGCTGAATTTTGTAGCTCAGTTCAAAATAAGACAAATGTTTGACTGTGGAACTACAGTCATACCTTGGAAGTCAAACGGAATCTGTTCCAAAAGTCCGTTCGACTTCCAAAACGTTCGAAAACTAAATCACAGCTTCTGATTTCGGCTTCCAAAAATAGTTCGCTTCCAAAAATAGTTCGCAAGCTGGAACAGTCACTTCCAGGTTTGCGACTTTCAGGAGCCAAAACATTGGGGATCTAAGCTATTCGAAAACCAAGGTACGACTGTATAATCCTGAAAATATGTCTAGCATGATTAACAAGAGATCCAGTAAATCAGAATCTGTTCATATTGTTGCTTGGCACCTTTGGAATGGAATGGGTGGAGGACCAGTTCAAAGGTTAAACTCAAAGGACTGGTTCTTTATTAAATCAAATCAAATCTTAGAGAGAGAGAAAAGAAAAGAAGTGGTTTGGGGTATTTCAGTCTTGACAGGGCATTTGAATTTTCATTCTGAGAATGTATGCCTTCTGGGGATGTGTGTGTTGAATGTAATTAATACACCCAAAGGGGGAGAGTGTGGCTGAAGTGCAAGTAGAGAGAGATAATTTTCTAGATTGTTATTTGCTTCCTTTTAAGTTTGTTCCCCAAGGAATACAAATTACTAGAAATTGTGAATATTGCCTCTGTTTCCCACCTGTGCTACTTAGCTGGTAGCTGCATGCTAGTATTAGTAATTAGTACTGGAAACTGGTTTTCGTCTCTGGAGTGCTGGAGGAGACTCTTGAGAGTCCCATGGACTGCAAGAAGATCAAACTTATGCATTCTTAAGGAAATCAGCCCTGAGTGCTCACTGGAAAGACAGATCCTGAAGCTGAGGCTCCAATACTTTGGCCACCTCATAAGAAGAGAAGACTCCCTGGAAAAGACCCTGATGTTGGGAAAGATGGAGGGCACAAGGAGAAGGGGACGACAGAGGACGAGATGGTTGGACAGTGTTCTCGAAGCTACTAACATGAGTTTGACCAAACTGTGGGAGGCAGTGGAAGACAGGAGTGCTTGTTGTGCTTTGGACCATGGGAGTCAGACATGACTAAACAACAACAATTGGAAATTGGTATAGATGTAGACACAATTTTATTAAGAAAGGTTGTGGTGGGATTAACCCACCCTTCCAGCGTCACTGCAACTTACCTGGAGGGACAGGGGCAGAACTGGATGATGACAAGCTTGGAGCAGTGTGGTCACATTGGCAGGAGCACCACACTGACTCTGCTGGTGTGGATCCTGTTGAATATTTGCCACTACTCTCATTTTGACACACACTCTTCTGTTTTCTTAATATTCAGTGCCAATGTTGGGATATATGGAACATTCTCTTGCGCTCTTGGCTACAAATGGGGGTTAAAATAATAAAAACAAGTTTTGCTGATCTCTGATAAAAAGCTTATAGGAAAATGTACAGATGCCTCCTTCATTGTTTTGTGGTGCGTAAGAAGCTGGCTTCACTGAGCTAGTGAAACTGAAGCAACCCATACATTTTCTCGGAGGATTACTGAGTGCAGTCTGCCATGCTTTCCGTTGATTTAAAGAAGTGAGTTGTTTTGTATTTTAATTTACCTTGTCCGTGTTAGCAAAAATATTTAGCGTAGGTCGTAAGTTTATATGCGATTGAAGAGTGATGTATGAGTCATATTTTTCATTAAGTTTTCACTTTCGTAGGAGCTGGAGCTGTAATCCATACGCACTCCAAAGCTGCTGTAATGGCCACACTTCTCTATCCTGGAAGAGAGTTTAAAATTACTCATCAGGAGATGATAAAAGGGATCAAGAAATGCACAGCAGGTGGCTATTTCAGGTAATTTCCCCTTGATAAGTTTTCAGGCTCGTGTCATAGTTTACCCTGATTTCAGAACAATCTCTCTTGTTCATATTTCAGATAATCTGTTTTTATGTGTAATGTGCAAATACTTCACTTTTAAAAAAGAACTTCTGCTGGTAATTTCTCAGAAAATATGTCTGCAGTCCAATAGATGGTTATGCTGGGCACAAATTCTGTTGAACTCAGTGGGACATGTGAGCTGAACTGGCATAAATTGGCTTTTGTTGTACAAGACACACCTCTTCTGCCTTTACAAACCTATGTTAGTAGATGTAGATCAGGGGTCGGCAACCTAAGGCCCATGGGCCACAAGCGGCCCATGGGGGTCGTTTAACCAGCCCATGGACTCCCGCCACCCGCTCAGTCAGCTCCTGTGCGCTGTGCTAAACCAGTATGGAGCAGAGCGGGCACTGCCTTCTGTGACGCTGGCTGGCTTCCCATTGGCTGCAGGAAGCTCCTGCAGCCAATGGGAAGCTGCACACACTTCCTCTGCTCTGGAAGAAGCCAGAAATAGCACTTAGAATCATAGAATCATAGAGTTGGAAGAGACCACAAGGGCCATCGAGTCCAACCCCCTGCCAAGCAGGAAACACCATCAGAGCACTCCTGACATATGGTTGTCAAGCCTCTGCTTAAATACCTCCAAAGAAGGAGACTCCACCACACTCCTTGGCAGCAAATTCCACTGTCGAACAGCTCTTACTGTCAGGAAGTTCTTCCTAATGTTTAGGTGGAATCTTCTTTCTTGTAGTTTGGATCCATTGCTCCGTGTCCGCTTCTCTGGAGCAGCAGAAAACAACCTTTCTCCCTCCTCTATGTGACATCCTTTTATATATTTGAACATGGCTATCATATCACCCCTTAACCTCTTCTTCTCCAGGCTAAACATGCCCAGCTCCCTTAGCTGTTCCTCATAAGGCATCGTTTCCAGGCCTTTGACCATTTTGGTTGCCCTCCTCTGGACACGTTCCAGTTTGTCAGTGTCCTTCTTGAACTGTGGTGCCCAGAACTGGACACAGTACTCCAGGTGAGGTCTGACCAGAGCAGAATACAGTGGCACTATTACTTCCCTTGATCTAGATGCTATACTCCTAGAGTATACTTGCGCATATGTGCGCGCACTCCGGCCCACCGCGGCGTCTGCAGGACCATGAACCGGCCCAAGACACAAAAACATCGCCAACCCCTGATGTAGAGCTATCTAATAATTCCACAGAATCCCTGAGATCCCAGGTTACTGTTACAGATATCCTTGGAAGAATTGGGTAAAGTGGGGTGGTAGATATTGTTTCAAATCCAAATTCCTATAGTTGTTGCATTTTCAACTACCTAGCACATTTCTTGCACATTAGTGTAAAATTATCTCCTATGTTTTCCTAGTAACTAGGCTTTCTTGTGTCACTTTGTATACCAGATTCTAGCTTTGTAGGTAGTTTATGAAATATCTTAGTTCAGTAGCTTGATCGTTTTGACACTGTAACTATAATTATTTAGTTGTGCCCATTACAACAACATTGTAAGGGAAGTCAGCATTACTCCCATATTGCAGATGGGGGGGGGAGTAGCATGAGAGTGGCTTGCTTTAAGGCCATCTAGCGCATACATGGTAGAGTCAAGTTTCAAACTGGGACTTTCTGATTAATAAGTACGCCTGCAGTCCTAATCGTACTTACCTGGGACTAAGCCCCATTGAATTCAATAGGAATTACTACTGAGAGGACGTGGTTATGGTTGAACTGTAAAGCCCCATCGGCACTATACATTTAAAGCAGTATTATACCACTTTATTTTTTTTTTTTTAATATAATATTTATTGGTTTTACAAAAATTCCAAAACATACAAAAATACAGAATTTCAAAAACAAAAAACAACAGTAACAATAACAAAAGAAACACAAAGAATAACAATAACCATAAAAAAGGAAGACAAAAGAGAAGAAAAAAAAGAAACAGAAAAATTTAGAAGATTATAATTTCATTTAACCTTCTTATCTTTCCTTGGTTCTTTGACTTCCCCGCACCTCCCCACTTGTATTTCCTTTTAGAGACTCCTTTCAGCAAATCCTTACCCTCCTTCCTTTATCTTAAGTCAGAAAACTTAATCTATTTATATCTAGATGTTTTTACAACCTTATCAATCAAATATTCCATACTCTTAAACGCGAGGCTTTTGCCCATACCAGTTATTTTCAATCAGACCTCAATTTAGCATTCATTAATTTTATAGTATTTCTGTAGATAGTCTTTAAATTTCTTCCAATCTTCTTCCACCGACTCTTCTCCCTGGTCACGGATTCTGCCAGTCATTTCCGCCAATTCCATGTAGTCAATCACCTTCATCTGCCATTCTTCCAGAGTGGGTAGATCTTGTGTCTTCCAATACTTTGCAATGAGTATCCTTGCTGCTGCTGTAGCTTACATGAAAAAGGTTCTGTCCTTCTTTGGCACCAGTTGGCCGACAATGCCCAAGAGAAAGGCCTCTGGTTTCTTCAGAAAGGTATATTTAAATACCTTTTTCAGTTCATTGTATATCATTTCCCAGAAAGCCTTAATCTTTGGGCACGTCCACCAAAGGTGAAAGAATGTACCTTCAGTTTCATTACATTTCCAACATTTATTATCGGGCAAATGGTAGATTTTTGCAAGCTTGACTGGGGTCATGTACCACCTGTACACCATTTTCATTATATTCTCTTTTAAAGCATTACATGCTGTAAACTTCGTACCTGTGGTCCATAACCGTTCCCAGTCAGCAAACATAATGTTATGTCCAACATCCTGTGCCCATTTAATCATAGCCGATTTTACCGTTTCATCCTGAGTATTCCATTTTAGCAGCAAGTTATACATTCTTGAAAGTGTTTTAGTTTTGGAATCTAACAGTTCTGTTTCCAACTTTGATTTTTCCACCTGGAAGCCAATTTTTCTATCCAAATTATAGACCTCTCTTATTTGGTAATAATGCAACCAGTCTCGCACTCTATCTTTTAGTTTTTCAAAACTCTGCAATTTGAATTTATCTCCTTCTTGTTCCAAGATCTCCCAATATTTCGGCCACTTGGCCTCCATATTGGACTTCTTCAGGGCCTTTGCCTCCATTGGTGATAGCCACCTTGGGGTTTTATTCTCCAATAAGTCTTTATATCTTATCCAGACATTAAACAATGCTTTTCTGACAATATGGTTTTTAAATATTTTGTGAGCTTTAACCTTGTCATACCACAAATATGCATGCCACCCAAACACATTATTGAAACCTTCTAAGTCCAAAACATCAGTATTTTCCAGAAGTACCCAATCCTTCCAACCAGCAGAAAGCTGCTGATTCATAGTAAAGTTTAAAGTCTGGCAGGGCAAATCCCCTCTTTCTTTAGCATCAGTCAATATTTTAAATTTTATCCTGGGCCTCTTGCCCTGCCAGACAAACTTAGAGATATCTCTCTGCCACTTCTTAAAACAATCCATTTTGTCTATTATTTGTATCGATTGAAACAAAAACAGCATTCTTGGCAATACATTCATCTTGATGACAGCAATTCGACCTAACAAGGAAAGCTTCAAATTTGTCCATATTTCTAAATCCTTTTTAATGTCCGACCAACACTTTTCATAATTGTCTTTAAATAAATTCCCATTTTTAGCTGTCATATGAATCCCCAAGTATTTCACTTTTTTTACCACTGTTAAACCTGTCTCATTCTGAAACCTCTCTTTTTCAATCGGTGTTAAATTCTTCTCAAGTACTTTAGTTTTAAACCTATTCAGCTTAAAACCTGCCACCTGACCAAACTCTTGAATCAGTTCTAGTGCTCTTTTCGTACTAGATTCTGGCTCCTGTAATGTCAATACAAGGTCATCTGCAAATGCTTTCAGTTTGTATTGTTTCGCTCCGACCGTTATCCCCTTAATCAAATGGTCCCTTCTTATCATATTTAACAAAACCTCCAGAACAGAAATAAAAAGTAATGGGGAAATTGGGCAGCCTTGTCGTGTCCCTTTCTCTATCTTAATTTCCTCTGTTATCACATTATTGACTATTAATTTAGCTTTTTGTTCTGAATAGATTGCATTTATACCATTTTCAAACTCTTGGCCTACCCCCATCCCCTGGAGATTTTTCTTCATAAAGCTCCAAGAAATGTTATCAAAGGCTTTCTCTGCATCCACAAAAATCAAAACTGCTTTAGTATTAATCTCCTCTTGCAACTTCTCCAGAATATCAATTATATTCCTTGTATTGTCCGAAAGATGTCTATCTGGAAGAAAGCCAGCTTGGTCCTTATGAATCACTCCTTTTAGCACTTTTTAAGCCTTTTTGCTAAAATGTCAGCAAAAATTTTGTAATCCACATTTAACAGGGATATGGGCCGATAGTTCTTAAGCTGTGTCTTTTCAGTCTCAGACTTTGGTATAAGTGTAATAAATGCGTCATTCCACGACTCTGGCGCTCTTTTCCCCTCTAAAATTTCATTGCAAACCTCAGTTAATGGTCGAATTAACCAGTCTTTCAAAGTTCTGTAATATTTTGAGGTTAAACCGTCCGGTCCTGGAGATTTTCCCAACTGCATATTCTGAATGGCACCTTCAACCTCTTGTTCTGTAATTTTGTAATTCAGCAATATCTTGTTATCCTGAGAGATTTTTTGTAATCCATTGGTTTTCAGAAATTGCTCTATTTCAAATTCTTTCTGAGGCCCTTGTGTATATAATTGTTTAAAATATCTCTGGAAGCATTTCCTAATTTCTTCTGGATTCTGAATATTTTTCCCTTCCACTTCCAAATTAGTAATAGTATTAAGTTTTTGTCGTTTCTTCAACTGCCAAGCCAGCAGTTTCCCACATTTATTTGCCGATTCAAAAGTCTTTTGTTTCATTTGTTTAATTTTCCATTCCACTTCTTGATTTATCAATTTCATATACTGCACTTGGTACAATTTTATTTCCCTCAGAATCTCTTGTGAATTGGGCTTCACTCTCAGTTTTTTCTCGCCCTCCTTTATTTTTTCCAGAATTTTTTCTTTCTTTACATTTTGGGCCCTCTTCTTAAGTGAATTCTGTTGAATCAGGAAGCCCCTCATAACAGCTTTACTTGCATCCCAGATTATTCTTTTTTCTACAGCTGTATTCAAGTTTATCTCAAAATAGTCTCTCAATGTCTTTTGGGCCTTCTTAATCACCTCTTGATCTCTAAACAAGGTGTCATTCATCCTCCATCGGAAGGAACCAGTAGATGTTAACGTCATCTCCATTCTCACGGCGTTATGGCCGGAGCATGTTTTTGGACAGATCTCTACCTTCCTAACCTTAGGTGCCAGTCCTCTAGTAGTCCAGATTTGGTCAATTCTTGTCCATGTCTTTTGGGCTTCAGAAAAAAAGGTTCCTTCTCTATCAAGGGGATTCCTAGTTCTCCAAATGTCAATCAAATCCATATTGTCAGTTAATTCAAAAAATGTTTTCGGTAGTCTGCCATCTTTAGTGACTACCTCTCTTTGTGACTTGTATTATACCACTTTAAACAGTCATGGCTTCATCCAAGTGATTTTGGGAACTGCAGTTCCCCTGAAAGTGATACAATTCCCAGAGTTCCCTGGGGGAAAAAAGGGATTGATTGTTAAACTGCTCTGGAAATTGGAGCTCTGTGAGGGGAATAGAGGCCTCCTAACAACTCTGAGCACCATAACCCCCATATTTCAGACTACAGTTCCCAAGATTCTTTGGGAGGAAGCCCAAACAGTTTAAAGTAGTTTGATACTGCTTTAAATGTATAGTGCAGAGGGGCCTACTATGCTGCTCTGGTTTTCACTTCTAATGCCTCCCCCCCCCCCTTTCTATGGAGGACACATACAAATACTCCCTTTGCAGAGGTTTTTTTTTTCTGGTAATCAAGATGGATTGAATTTACATGTACTGTATTTAACCTTTCTAGATCACGTGAAAGTATCCTAAGAATCACGATACTTCTGTGAGTGAGAGGTGCCCAATCATCTTTACATATAAGAGCGAGATATACTTAGAGTCATATCTTATTTTAGAACAACAAAGTTCAAGCATATAAATTGTGGCATGTTTAATTTATTATTTTTGTCATGGTTCCAACAGTGTATAGCTAGTACCCTGCCAGTTTTAATTAACTTGGTTTAAACAATGCCAGGTTATCTTAATCCCACTTTAGTATTCATAGAGCAAATTCCAGGGAGGGACAGGCTCCATCTTGCTCACAGTTGAGATTCTCAGAATATGATAGAACAATACGAATGATCTGCTAAGACTTCTAAGCAAACAATTACAAGGGAACAAAACATCAATTCTTGGAATTCACGTGATATTTTTCTCTCCTCACTCCCTTCAAAATGAAAGAACTCAGGACCCAACGAAACTGATAAGTGGTCTGATCTTTGCACAATTAACTTCTGGAATTGACTTCTCTAGTGTTTTAGGATGACCAGTGGCATAAGCAGACTTTTGTTTTTTACAATTCATGGGTGTTACGTCCGTTGCAGTAATAACCCGTTCCAACAGTGTAGCATCACCTACCATATGCTGGTGATTAATAACAAGAGATTAATATTGTGCTGTTTGTCACAGCAGAGTGACGTTCCGTTGTTGCTGGTAAATGCTTAAGACAAATAAATGCAAAATACAGAACAATTGATAGAGTCTAGCCAAAGTTAAGAAGAGTTTCAACTTCTTTGAAATTGTTGACACTTGCAATGCAATCCTATGCATTTCTCCTCAGAAATAAGTGTCAGTGGGACTTGTTCCTGGGTAGGCGTGTGGTGCATGGTTGCTGCCTTAAGTCACCTGGTTGGTCGTGCCCATTGATGCTGTGCACCCAAACGCTACCATTCCTGAGTGCCAATTCCATGATGAACCAATGGAAACATAGATAGGGAGATGTTTTCAAAGAAACGTTTGTTTCAAAAAGTCCTTAGTACAAACAAGCTGTGATGTTCACTATCTCTTTAATGATTTAGTTCCTCTTTCATTCACTTCTATGCTTTAGATCAAACTCTTCCTAAGACCACAGTGACATGGTGCTGGTGTCGTCATTGTGTTACGTGATTTAGGCTGCAATCCAGCACACACACACACACTGGGGAGCCTTTACAGAGTGGCAGGGCCACCAAGCATCCAGAGCTCTGCTGCACACAGCTGGTGGAGCAGAAGGTGGGAGAATTGTAATATGACCCAGCTCAGGCTTAATGCTGTTGCATGACAACAGTGACACTGGCTTGGGATCCAGCAGACCTGGGACCGACTCAGTCAATCCCCGCCTCCAGAACACCCTGCATTGGGGCTTTCCATTGGCGACTGCTGCTGCTAGGCATCCCGGCAGTGGTCCTCCTGCCTTCCTGCACCTTCAACTGATGGAAGGGGTCATGTACCACTGATGGCCAGCAGGAGCCCAGCTTAACCAGGAGAGCTGGGTAGAAAGGATTGCTCTTCCCTGGGTATACGGGATGCCATTGCTGATTTCAATTCATTGTTAATCACCTGGGCGGCTTTGTGGCAGAAAAGTGGGACATACTCTTCTATTGTCTCCTGAGACAGATGGATGCCAACCAGATTGCTTTGGACCAGCCTTTCCAGGTAGCAGAAGCACAATGCTAACCTGAAAAGGAACACGTGTCCCAATTCCATCATCTTTTCAGGTATGATGATACCTTAGTGGTTCCTATTGTTGAGAACACACCTGAAGAGAAGGACCTGAAGGAAAGAATGGCTCAGGCAATGGATGACTACCCAGACTCCTGTGCTGTGCTGGTCAGACGTCATGGAGTCTATGTTTGGGGAGAAACTTGGGAAAAAGCCAAGACAATGTGAGTTCTTCTTCTTCTTTGGAAATCACTCATAGCCCAGTACAACTATGTGAGTACAACTATGAAGAAGCACAATGGTAGCCCTCTGCTGTTGCAAGCAAATACCACTGGATTTTACACTCCCGAGTGTACTAGAGAATGCATGTTGCTTTCAGATGAAGCTATCGCCACTTCTGCTTCACCTGTGTCTTTCCTTTAATATATGTAGATACTGAGAACAGCCCTCAAACACTCAGATTCCCAAAAGTGAAGATCCCTGGGAGTACAATTCCCCTTTGCAAATATTTTCAAAAGCCTTCACATGTTTTGCAGATCGTAGCACAGACTTGGAAGCTAAGCATAGTTTAAAAAAACTAATTCAGGTCTTGTTGCTATTTATGATTATGTTTCTAATGTGAGGAAAGACATTACCAACATAATGTTGTATAAGAAAAAACACAAAATTCATATTGCTACAATTAGTGCTAAATCACATAGCAAGATGCCAACCTCTTTCGTTTTGTCTTTTAGGTGTGAATGTTATGACTACCTTTTTGATATTGCGGTACAAATGAAGCAACATGGACTTGATCCTACTGCAGTTCCAAAGGAAGAAAATGGAATCATTTAATACCTCGACATCTCTTACCAAAATGACACTGATATTTCAGGGAAATATCAATAGGTTTTAGGGTTCACGCCCAAGCAACTTTTAACATTTTGCACAATATGTGCTTATTGGTTTTAGTGAGATATTGTTGCTAAATACAAACCATTTTATGCTGTTTGTTAAAATCCTGAAGGATTCCCAAGGCAGTCTGGATTCCCAGTTGTGCATATTGAAGGATCTGGGACTTCCCTTTCCCTTTACTTTCACAGCACAACTGGCATGTTTCTTTAGGATTTTCCTTGTGGCTCGTATTCTATAATATAGCAAGATCAAAATGCAAATGTCTTACAACTTCAAATTATTGTAAGGTTTTCATAAATAAAAGACAAGTTGCATTTTGAAAGCCTAGCATGGCACCAAATGGAAAAGTTCTTTAAAACAGCTTTAAACTAAATCAACAAAGAGTCTATCTCTGGAAAAGCTAGATAGTGTTGAAAGAGCGCCACATATAAAAGTACGCCAAAATGAGACATTATCCTTTTCTCGTTGAAAAGTGCAGTAGTAATTATATTTTACACTATCCTCTTTCCTCAGTAACCCCTAGGTTACAATAGATTTTCTCTTGGTTAATTTTAATGGATGCCTTCTTTGTAAGTTAAGCAGAGGAGAAAATGTATGCATTAAAAATGATAATATTTGAAGTAGAAATGAGAATCAGATATGTGAAAGTACATGGTGACTTTCTTTTTTATATAATTAAATTTATAATTTCCGTTTATGTACAAATGTACAATTATTCAACAATCGTTCTAACATTTCAAACTTTGACTCTTCTTCCCTCTCTTTCTGCGGTTCTTTGCATTTATTTTCATCATTTCCTGCATACTCCAAATTAACTTATTATTTTATTCATCTATTCTCATATCTATCTCATAAACATTTTTGAAGCCGCAGGTTCTTACAATAATCCTACCAATGTCTTGATTTGTTTACAATTTGTTTGAAAATACTCTATAAAACATTTCCATTCCTTTCTAAAAAGTTTATTGTCTTTATTTCTTTTTCTTCCAGTAAGGATATTGTTGTGGATAAAACAGCACATATCATTTCTTCACCATTTCAGTTACATAACTATGTTGGATAATATTGCCAAATGATTTAATCCTCTTTAGAAACAACTCTGTTTTCAAGGAAAATTAAATTCTGTAATATTCGTAAGGTAGACTTTGTGCCAAGTTTCTTTCAGTATGGCTTACACCATGTGTAATTTTACTAAAGAGACTTGATTACAAAAGCTTTGAATTCTACAAGTGGGTGGTTTATACGAGCAGTTCCTGTGTGACTAGAATCTATGCTGCTCCTGTATGATTTCTTAAAAAGGCCAGGGGGTTCCTCGTCTCTACAGGGCTGCCCTTAAATCTGAATCAAACACTGGGTTTGAGGTGGTAAATAAGGCACTACACCAGGCATAGGCAAACTCGGCCCTCCAGATGTTTTGGGAGTACAACTCCCATCATCCCTAGCTAACAGGACCAGTGGTCAGGGATGATGGGAGTTGTAGTCCCAAAACATCTGGAGGGCTGAGATTGCCTATGCCTGCACTATACCCTTTTTAATTAGGCACATCTTGGTATCAGATAGCTTCCATGAAACAGGTAACATCTGAAGATTTCATGCAGGATGGAGATACAAGGAAGAGAGTATTTCCACACTCTCATCAGCTAAAGGTCTACCTGTGTCAGGATTTGGGGAATCAGCTTCCTCCCCTGTGGCAGTAAATAAGATCAAACAAAAGGAACATCTTACCAGTTAGATTCTTTAGTAATCACATTGAGAGACAAAAGAAAATGTCTCCCTAGAAATGGTGGTGCTCCCAATTAAGGTTCACACCTTAGTGAAAGTTATAATCCCTGTTAATCTACGTCACTCTTACGTCTTGAAATCTGAACTTGTACCCTCTGTGCTTTCTGTTCTGAGACTTTCTGAGCTCTTCTCGACCTTGGGAAGGGCAGTGTAGGAATGCTGTCCAAAGACTGTTCCCCATCCAGTATTTCCCAGTTTCTGCCTTCTGAACTATGCCTCTCTGCAAACCGCTGTTCCAAACCTACACTATCCTCCTTTTCCTGGGAAGATTCAGGATCAGAGGGAGGGGGTGGTTCCCACCATCCCTCCTCAGCACGGTCCCAGACAACCAGTCAGTAAGATCTTGAAGCGCTTCTAGAAAATTTTCTAGGTTTGGTGAAACGTCAAGTGAGCAGAAGTTTCACATTATACTTTGGTATCATTGCCTCTTCTGGCTCAGTACTGTCTACACTGACTGGCAACAGGTTTCTAGGACTTCTTACAAGAGTTTCTCCCAGTCCTACATGGAAATGCCTGGGATTGAACCCAGTACTTTCTGCCTTTCCCCCAGAGGATGGTTTTGTATGTGGATGATACACTCAAGACATTGTCTTTGCCTGTCGGATATTGCAAGAGGGTTGTCTTAGCTGCACCCTGTTTGGACAACTGTTTCAACGTCAGTGTTGCTAAACTATTAGGCTAGTTGTTGGCTCTCTGCCTTTCATGTCACAAAAGGCTCATAAAGACACTTCAGACCTATCCTGTGCACTCCTGTAGCATAGCACCCAGAATTTAGTAGCAGGTCATCAGTAAGTAATTGGCAAGGTTGCCTACTATTTGATCAGATCCATTCAACACTATAGACACAAATATATGATGAACCCGACATACCACAGGCCTTATTGCTCCTAATGTTCCAAGTTTTCTTTCAGGGTGCTAGATAAGTGAAAGTTATAATCAGCTCACGTTTTCATTCTTGCTTCACTTGTGTATTTATGAGTAGATTCACTTTTGAGTTCTCAGAGTATACTTAAAAAGCAATTCTGGACACCACCTTGCTGAAGGCCTCAAAACTTATGTGCCTTTCCTGTCTAGTATGATTTGAAAGTGTGTCAGGTTGAAGGTAACTGAAGTTAGCATTAATGACTAGTGCAAAGTCAATGCAAAAGCATCAGTATTTATTGGTTGCTCATATAATTCAAAGTACCTGCTTTCACTCATCTTCTCAAGGATTGCACATCAATCATAGGCAACTATGTGATCAATTTAATGCAGCTGTAAAGACTATAATAATAATAATTTATTAATTATACCCTGTCTATCTGGCTGGTTTTCCCAAGCCACTAGGCGGCTCCCAACAGAACACCAATAACAATAATAAAAAACCAACAACATCAAACATTAAAAAAACTTCCCTAAACAGGGCTCCCTTCAGATGTCTTCTAAAAGTCAGTTGTTTATTTCCTTCACATCTGAAGAGAGGGAGTTCCACAGGGCAGGTGCCACTGAGAAGGCCTTCTGCCTGGTTCCCTGTATCTTCACTTCTCGCAGTGAGGGAACTGCCAGAAGGCCCTTGGAGATGGACTGTTCTTAAACTGAGGTACCACTGACAAGAAAAGGGTCAACAGGTAGTAATTTTATTGCAGAGATAGGGAACCAGTGACCCTCCAGCTGTTGCTGGACTATAACTCCCCTCATTCCTGATAAGTGGGCACGTGGCCCAGGGCCAATGGGAGTTTGAATCCTACACAGCTCCACCCCTGTTCAACTGTTAAAGTTAACTTGTGAAGCGTAGTAAGGGGTGTGTGTATGTGTGGATGCTGATAAAATTATTAATCTTCAATCCCATATATTGTATAAACTTTTTTTGCTGTTTGGGGTTTCTTCAAATCAAAACCAAGAAACTGGATAAATGGGGTATTGGAATTTGATGTAAAACGGAAAATGATTAAAAAATATTTTTTAGAAAAGAAACTGGATGAAATCTTTTAAGTGCTCTAGGCTGAAATGGACTCCCCCCACCCTGATTTCTGTCTGTCATTCACCATCACTTTTTAATGAACAATCTCCAAAAACGGAGAGACTTTGCCAACCACAACTGGATTGTTGTTCTGCAGCTCGGATGCCTCCTTAGAAGCAGATGTCTCGGGCATTAGAGCAACACAATGGTAAAGCTTATAATCTTCAGAAACCTGCTCAACAAGAACGGTAACCGCAAAGGGTAGTGTAACTCTTGAATTAGTGGCCTTTTAAAAATTCAGGGTGGTACATTGTTAATTATAAATCTACCATATTCTTTATAAAGTGAAGAGGCAGGCTTATGATTAAAGTAAACATAACTCAAGGATCTTATTCCCAGCTACCCACGTTGATTTAGGATGTCGGTCTAAGAGTGCCCTCGAAAATGTATCATCTGAACTGCTGAAAGGTGCTGAGCTAGCGCATTGGAATGCCGGCATATTCTGCCAAAATAAGCACTCCAGGCGTGGCTAATGCCCAATTCATACATTATCACCGTGGCCTGGCTCCTCGTGAGAAACTACTTCCATATGATTGGATCTCCATCTCACAGCAGCAGTTACACCTTATGTAAATATGCAGAAATTACCATTATTAATTACTAAGCACCTTTTTTTCCCCCTAAGCCCTGTACAGAAATTTAGAAGAATTTCTAAATTCTAAAATGCTGGAAGACTCAGTATAATAAACATATAATAAAAGGAAAAGGGAATGGGGAGAGGAGAGGAGAGGAAAGGAATCAAAGACAGATACTAATTCTTGAAGTGACATAATCTCAACGACATCATCTGATCTGGACAGATGGAACTAACTGCCTTTAAGTACACATACACAGTCATGCCCTCTGGCCAGAAGCAGAAGCCAGGGAGTGCTTTGCTTCAGCTTTGGGGTTCCAGCTGGTATATAGATTCCAATGTTCTTTCTGGCAGAGAAGGCAACAACTGTAACTCAGTGGGAGAGCATTTGCTTTGCATGTAGAAGGTCCCTAAATTCAATCCCCAGCATCTCCAGGTAAGAATGGGAATGTCCCCTTGTCTAAAACTCTGGAGATATAGCCAATACTCAGCTAGACTGATCAATGGCCTGGCTCACTTTAAAGCAGATTCTTACAATCCCAAGATTCTTGCAGCTATTCCTTTTCTGATAGGGCCATGCTGTTTTTCTTCTAGCTGTGGTTTCCTTCCTGGGAGGTAGGGAATGCAATCTCTTAGTAGTGCGTGGTCCTTCAGCTGGTAGCAGAAGCATCTGAGAACTGAGACCTTTGGCTGAGAACGGCCAGAGCATCACCAAGAGGAGCCTCCCAACCAGGGATGGGTGAATCTTTTAACTTCAGTTCCTCTTTTTCCCAATCCTAAATTCAGTTTCCACATCAGTTGGCATTTAAAAAAAAAATAAATCTCATGAAAATCCAGCATATGAGTGCAAATTTCTTCTAACATCCTGTTTGTTTGCAATCGTGACTCATATGCACATTTTTTTGCAAAGCATTTCCTCCTCATATAATGTTATTTTCACAGATGTTAACAAGATGCAAGACTAGTATAATTTCGGTGTAATTGTGAAATCAACAATTCAGCTTGGGAACAACGATTTTTAGAAAAATAAAATTTGACATGTTCAAATTACATGAATATGCCCTAAATGAGCTACAATTCATTTTCAAGATTTAATATGATTTTAATTTGATGCGTTTATATAGGGTTAATTTTGCTACATTATTTTGTATGCTGCCTTCTGAGGGCAGTGTGACCTGGAAGGCAGTTGATCTGTCTTTAAACATACAAATAAAACCTGCAGACAGGCCTCCAATAATAGCTTACGAGCTGTCTCAGGTTAACATCCAATTTGAAGAGGAATGTCTGCATAAAGGCTTTAGTTATGCAACCCTTACTTTGAAGAAGAAAAAGCGTAGGAAGTCACGTAGAAGAAATAAGATGCTACTCTTTTGCCTAAAGATGCAATCCTCACTAGCTCACTGTCTCAAGTTGTTATCACAAACCAGCACAAAGATATCATTGATCCGCACTCTCCAAACTATAGTCAAGATTCTGGGCAAATATCCCCATTCCTCAATGTTCATGGGAAATACATGATGTGAATACCAATAACACAAGTTCCGTCAGTTTTACAGAGTTAATTCTCCATGCACCCAGTGGTATTGGGGGAAACATCCCC